CCATTATAAAAATAATGTGATTTCATAATATTACTTTTTTTTTTTTTATAAAAAATTCTAAAATATTTATTAAAATCTTAATATGNTAAAATAAAAAAAAAAAAAAAAAAAAAAAAAAAAAGCACAATATCTGTTTCCTTTAATTTTTGTTTATTTCCATAAGTTACTAAATTGAAAACTCGTCTCAGGATGCCTGTGAAAATTAAAAAAAATAAAAATATGTCAGTAAACATTTTACAAAATTATTCTTATATTATAAAAGAAAAAAAATAAAATGGAAATAAACTTATAATTTTAATTATTTTTAGAATAAACTATAGATAAAATAAAAAAAAAAAAAAGTCTATCCATAAATATATATATAAAATATTTTAGTTACGTTTGAATATATGTAAGTTTAAAATTATTTAAATCAGATGGATTGTTTAAAACTGAAAAGTATTGATTTGTGTCTTTATGTATGGAATTTTTATTTTTATCTGTTTTTTTTTTTCCTAGTTTTATCTTAAAATAAGATAATACTTCATAAAAATAAGAATCATAAGGCAACTTTATATCCCGAATTTTAGAAAAATCCTTACTTCTTTTTTTTAAAAGGTTTTTTAAGAGGAAGTTGTGCTTTATCAAAAAGTTATTAACTTTATTTTTAATTTCTATTTGTTTTCTATCAAAGTGTTTTAAAAATTTTTCGTGTTCTTCAAAATGTTTTGCTAAATTTAAGTTTTCTGTTTCCTTTGTTTTTTCTTTAAAAACATTAAAATAATTTTTAAACATTTCTTCTATTTTATTTCTACCTAAAGAAATATGCGGAAATTTAAGTATTCCATTTTTTTTCTTTTTATTTTTTATGTTATTATTTTTTGCTATATTTCCCTTATACTTTGTTTCGTTTAATGAATTGACATTAATCACTTTATTAAAACTATCGTTTTTTTTTTCTTCTGTATTATCTATTTTATCCCATTCTTTTTTTTCAACATCATTTAAAGGAGAAAATTTTTTTTTATTATTTTTTTTAACTGATAAAAAAAAAGTATCATTATAGTAAAAGGATAATAAATGCTCTAAAACAGATAAGCTAAAAACAGATCCCATATCATTGGAAGTATTATATCCACCCTCTAAAACACTTATAATTGGAAAATTCAATTTGTTCTGTAATGATAAAATTAGATTAGTTAAATAAAAATATGTGGAAGTATTATTTTTTACAAAACCGTTATTTACATAATCTAATTTATGTCCATCAAATCCAGCTGATAAAAAGAGTAAATTTGGTTTAAAATGAAATAAATGTATTAAAATATTATTATGAAATAATGACAAAAAGTCATTTGCATTCATATTTTTTTTTAAGGTAACATTTATTATATATGGTTCGAGTTCTACTGCATCAAAACCAGTACCAGGATAAAAATATCCATCAAATGCATGAATTGAACTAAAAAATATATTCTTCTTATCATTTTTATCTTTCCATCCCTTCCAACTATATATATCAATATAATCATTAACTCTTATTTTTTTTAATCCCAAATTTCTAATGATTTGTTCAGTTCCATTACCATGATGGATATCAAAATCTATAATAGCAATTCTTTCAAATTTTTCATATTTATATTTTGCATAAGAAATCCCTATAGCTATATTATTTAAAAGACAAAAACCTTGACTTCCTGCAGCTCTATCTTCATCAGTTAAATTAAACTGAGCTGCACCAAATGTTCCTAAATGATGACCTGGAGGTCTTACTACACAAAAAACTTTTTTATTCTTATTTTTTTTTGAATATATATAATCAACTGCATTTAAAACTACTCCGCTAGCATTTAAGGCACAATTGAATGAATATTTATTAATAAATGTATCATTATCTAATAATATTAATTTGTCTATTTTCTCTTTAGTACACTTTTTACTTTTTATTTGAACATCTTTTGTGTTTATATTATTATAGCTGGATACTTTTTCTTTCATTTCATTTCCATCAGATTTTTCTATACCATACTTTTTTTCTCCAATTATTAGTTCATCATTATGTTTATCACATACTTTTTCAATGATATTTTCTTCACAATCATTTCTATCATAACATGTTCCATTGCTTATCTTCTTTTGGTTATCTTCATTTCTTTCTTCAATGAATTTTTTCTTATCAATTATATGGTTTTGCTTTAATACATCAGTTGAATTGGTATTTTCATTAACAGATTCATAAGTATCAATATGATTTTTTAATTTATCAAAATTTTCACAAATAGTATTATTAAGTTCACTATTATCATCAGAGTTTATTAAGTAATTTTTTTTTTTATTATTTTTAGTTTCTTCTAAGAAATTTTCATTTACATCTTCATTTAAATTGTATTTTTTCATTTTATATAATAAAGTTTTCAAGTAAGAAATATCGTGTACTCTTAAAATATCAGTTACTGTTGCTTTTCTCTGAACTCTTTTTAATTTAAAATTTACAAAAGTGTTCAATTTCAATATTCCATGTTTATTAGAAATCAATACATCTAACCTACTAGAATTTTCAGGAATATTAGTTTTAATTTTCTTTCTTAAATATGGATAATCAGTTGGTTCTGGAACATAAATATGTTTAGCACATTCATTTGAATAAAATATTTCTATTCTACTTTTTTTGTTTGTTCTTTTTTTTATAATATAATTGTTTATAAAATCTATTTTTTTTTTTTTCTTATTTAAAGGTCTTTCTTCCTTATAAGCCTTTTTTTGTTTTAAAATATTATTTACATCTGCTTGACTTATTCTTTGAATATTTTCAGAATCTCCTTTGATATTATTAATTTGATTATGAATATTTTCTTCATTCTTGTTTTTGATATCAGACGAATTTTCATCAGGAAACATTCCCATTTTTTCATAACTATTTATCAAAAAAAAATTATTATTGGATATTTCAGAATTTATTTTGTTTTTCTTTGAAATAAAATTCTTATATTCTGATAATTGTATTTCCTCATTTTTTCTTTTTTTCTTTTTTTTTTTTTTTTGACTAAAAAAGTTAAAGCTTAGAATATTATCACAAAATTTAAGAAATGTATTAACGCAATTGTACATATGTGCAAATAAACATAAAAAGTAAAATATTTCTGTTTTTTGAATTATGTAACAAAAAATATATTTATTATAATTAAAAAGGATTTTCAGAAATTCAAAATTTCCAAGTTCAATAATTTTTACAATTACACTTATATATAATTTAACTACATTGGATAAAAACTTACCATTTATATTTTTATTATAAAAAAAATTATTTTTTATATATTTATTATAATTTTTTTTCTTGATTTTATTATTTATTTTTGTATTACTACTTATAATATTTTTATTCTTTTTTTCTGATTTGTTGTTTAAACATTTATCTTTTTTTTCTTGTTCATTCAAATGAAAATCTTCTTTTTTAAGAATATTTTGTTCATTAACTTTTTTATTAATTATATACTTTTTTTTATTATAATATTGGTTTAAATAAAAAAAAAATAAATATTCTACTGTATTGTGTAAGAGTAGTAGGAAAATATATTCGTCACAGTTATACACAGTACAATGTAATGGTAGCTCTAATTTATCATTATATGTTATTAACTTTACATTTAAATTCAAAAGAAGAAAAATAATATTAGTATTAGCAACCAGACAAGCTTTGTGTATTAATGTATTTTTATTATAATCTGCATCATTGAAGTTTATTAATTTTTTCCACATATCATGTGAATACATTTTTTTTTTATAACTTTTCTTTTTTTTATTTAAAAAAAAATCTTGTATTTCTCTTCCTACATAATTACCATATATATATTCTATACTTTTTAATGATTTATTTTTGGTTTTATATTTTTTAATGAATTCAGTGAAGTTTTCATTTATGCATTTATTTAATGAAGTGTAATTATCACAATCTTCAATGTAATTTTTCGAATTTGTATGAGTATCTTTTTCATGATTTTCTTTTACTATACTTATATTTGAATCTAGTTCATGGATATCATCCACACATTTCTTTACTTCACTCATTTTCTCATTTCCCTTATGTTCATCATAGTTTATATTTCTACATTCGGAAATTTTATTTTCATTTTTATTTTCATTCTCATTTTTATTTTCATTCTCATTTTCATTTTCAGAGCAGAATATTTCTTTTCTTAAAAACGATTTCACTTCATTTTCTTCTTCTGAATCACTTAAAAAACTTAAACTTTTTTCACTACTTACATTATCACTATTATCTGATAAAAATGATTCTGTTTCCTCTCTTTTTTTATTTTTAATTTTAACAAGTTTGCTCTTCAATAATTTTTTAGTGTTACTATAATAGTCGTTAATATATATGGTTGGTATAATTACATGTTTAAATAAAGGAACTTTAAAATAAAGCTTTTTAAATTTTTTTTTTTTTTTACCTTTTTTTTTAATATTTTCTAACTTATAATTTCTCTTTATATTTATTTTCTCATTTATCTTACTTTTTTTTCTTGATATTTTTATTTTCTTTCTGTCCTTTGATTTTTTATTGTGATACCACTCAAAAAATTTTTTTGAAAAAGAAAATGATGGTAAGGAAAAATAATATAAAATTATTTTTAGTATTCTAAATATATTTTTGTGATATTTCTTTACATAAATTCTAGAAAATAATATTTTTATAAAATTTTTTTTAGAAAAACAGTCGTGAAAATATGCATTTATTAAAAGTAAGTCAGACATTGAATCATTTTGGTAACTATTATAAGTATTGTTTTCACATATTTTTTTTATTTCATCGTAATCGTTGCTTGAATTTAAGGAATTTTTTAATTTTATTTCATCAATTATCCTCAATTTAAAAAGTAAAGAATGGAAATTGTTAGGTAGGTCTAAAATGTATTTATAAAAGTTCTTATATATCCGTAAACTATTATTTCTTAAACATCTTATATAATTATGAATATATGGATAAAATAAAAGTAAAAAGGATATATATGGTTTACAATAATAAAAACAGATTTCTAAAGAATTACTATTTTCATAGTTAACATCATTGATAATATTCCTATACTCACTTTTCAATATATAGCAAATATAATTAATTTTATTGTTAATTATGTTTAAAATTAAAATATTATCCTTTTTTTTTTTTTTTAACTTATCCAATTCATACTCATAGCGAATATTCCTTTTATCTTTTAAAATTTTCATCTTAATAATGACATTTTTATTTTATAAATATATATAAAAATAAAATAAAAAAAATAAAATCCAAAAAAAATGTCTAAATTTTAACAATACGTGTATATTAAAAAAAAAAAATTAAGAAATAAAATACGTGTTATAAAGAGGTAAAAAAAAAAAAAAAAAATTTTTAATTTTTTTTTTTATATCCTAATGTAAATATGTACAATAATTATTTTAAAAAGACATTTTTGTACAAAAAACAATAATAGGAAAAGTTTTAAAATAAAAAAAATATATATATAAAAAAAAAAAAATATTAAATAAACATGTTTTATCATACATTAATTAATATTTTATATTTTTTGTGGTAATAAGTTATTGAAAATTAAATAAAAAAAAGAAAAAAAAAAAAAAAAAAAAAGGAATTAAATAAAGGAATTTTTTAATTAATTTAAAAATCTATTCATAAAAAAAATTTATAACAAATATTAAAAAAAAAATTTAGTTTGTATATTTCTACTTTTTTGTTAATTTTATTTTTATTATTTTTTTTTTTTTTTATTTAGAACAAATAAAATAATTTTGTTAAAAACTCAACATCATATTTTTTATTATATAAAATATAACGATAGTACCTTTTTTTAAAAAAAACTTTAAACAAAAAAAAAAAAAAAAAAAAAAAAAAATGAATTATTATAACCAGAAACTTATAAATAGGGTAAATAAAAATGAGAATGATACAAGTTTTGTTAATGAAAATCATTTAAACAATCCACATATAAATAAAAAAATATTTGAAAATAATTACAAACCTAATTTAATTCCTAATATTCCATATGAAAATAATTTATATCAAAATAATCTAGTAGCAAAAAATTTTAATTATACTAATAGTGATAACAATGATTTATTAACAAATCCTTTTAGTAATCAATCATATATAAATAATGAAATAAATAAAAACAATGATATTTTTAATAATTATACAATAACAAATAAAAATGATTTAAATAAAAATAACAAAAAGGAAAATGAACAGGATCAAGAAGAGGAAGAGGAAGAATTGCCTTTACTTGAAGAACTTGGAATAAATTTTGATTTAATTTCTAAAAGAATGAAATCTGTTTTTATGTTTTATAAGTTAGAACTCCAAAAAATATATATATATATAAATATATATATATATATACATATACATATTTTTTTTTTTATTCAGAATTGATCATTCATTATTTGAAAACTCTGATTTATCTGGACCATTATTAATAGTTCTTTCTTTGGGATTCATACTATTATTAGTAACATCTATATAATATATAAGATGAACAATAATTTATATTATTAAAAAAAAAAAAAAAAAAAAAAATTTTCAACAGGCAGGGAAAGCTTCATTTAGTTACATTTATTTAATTGGAATTGTAAGTAGTTTAAGTATTTATTTACTATTAAATATGATGAGTCAAGTAAGTTAAAAAAAAAAAAAATAGGTAGTTATAAGCAAATATATATATATATATATATATATATATATTTATTTATTTATTTATTTATTAAAATTTTTTATAAATACTAGAATTTAACGCTAGATTTATATCGCACAATTAGCATGTTAGGGTATGCATTGCTACCATTGGTTATTTTATCAATTATATCTATACTTATAAATTTAAGGTAATAAACACATGTTAATTTATATTTAGAAAATTGAAATTTATTATTTTAAAAAAAGTGAAAATTTTTAATTATTAATAGATCAAAAAAAGGGTACTCTATTTCTTTTTTTTGCATTTTATGGTCAGCTTTAACGGCTTCAAGATTTTTTGAAGTGGTATGTTAAAATTTTTTCATAAAAATTATTTATAATAAAATATCTCTTATTTTTTTTTTGAATAATTATCTTTATATAAAATTACATATTTTCATATATATGTATATGTATTTGCGGATATATTTTATTTTTAACAGGCTTTGTGTATGAATAGTCAAAGGTATTTAGTTGCCTACCCAATATTTTTATTATATTCTTGTTTTGCATTAATTATTATTTTTTAGTTTCCTTATTTTTTTTAATATTTTTAAATCGTTTTTTTCTAGTTTTTTTTGAATTTTTAATTCTTCGTTTAATAAAATTTCATTTTCATCATCACAATAACCAAAATAATGAATATTTACAAATTTATCCAAGTTTCTTTTATCCTTTTTTTTTTTTAAAGCTAACTTTTTCCTTTCTTCATTTTCTCTAAATAATAACTCTTTTACTCCTTTTAAGTTTTTAGCAGCTCCAAAATATTTATAATTGTTATTTCCTTTTAATTCGCTACCTATAATATAAAAAAATACATAATAAAAAAATAAGATAAAATCATATATTAAAATAATAACATTTAAATAAAAAATTAATGTTACATATACATAAAAATACAAGAAACAAACATTTAATTATATAAAAATAAAAAAATTATTTTAAAATTTTAAAGCATACAATGAGCATTAATTAATGTGTTTGATTCAGTTTGATAATCAGGGCCACCAAGCTAATCAAAAAAAAAAAAAAAAAAAAATATTAAGTTTTTAGCTTAAACTAGAAAAAAAAAAAATAAAATTTATTTATATGTTATTTTTTTCATTATTTATGTTTATATTTTTTTTTTTTTTTTCTATTTTTTAATCCTTTTATTTATTTATTTTTCTTTACTTCTATAATTCTTATTTCCCATTTATTTTTTATGGAAATTAATTTATTTATTTGATCATTTAATTCTCTTATGTGTTGATCACTTAAACTATAATTTTGAATTTCTTTTATTTTGCTACATATCTCTTTAATAATATATTTTCTACTAAAAATCAAATAAATTTATATAAATTACAAAAATTATGTTGAAAAGTATCATATAAGGAAAATAAAGACAGAAATAAAATATAAATTTTGAAAAATTTTATCATATTTTTATTTTTATTTTTTTTTTTTAAATACTATGATATTGCTGATTCCAAGTCATCTACTTCATAAACTTTTTTAGGAATTTTAAAAAAATTTTTCTTCTCATTCAATTCTTTAGCCTTTAGCCATTGATTTAACATAGATTTTCCTTTTTCTACGTTTCTCGCCATCTCTCAAAATTTTATAATTCTAAAATAAATATTATAAAAATAGTTTATCAAAAATAAATTAAAAAATCTTAATATAATAAAAAGGCTTCATAACTGAAATTATAGTAAAAAAAAAAAAAATAACATTATGGTAATAAAGTACTAAATTTCCTAAAAAACTTTCATTTTTTAAATTGTTATATATTTTATTATTTATTTTTATCTTTTTAAATTAAATTACATTTTTTTTAAAATATATATAAAAAGAATAAAAAAAAAAAAAATAAAATAAATAAAAGATTAAAAAAAAAAAGCAAAGCCAAAAATAAATAAATGATGAATTACGATTACATTTCATAAAAAAAAAAAAAAAAAAAAAAAATATGGAAGAAATTTTGAATAAAAATAAAATTATAGAATTTGAAAATAATAAAAGAACTTTTGAGTTGTGGAAAAAATATGTTATAGATGAAGTTCACAATGAAAAAAAAAAAAAAATAAAAAAAAAAATAAAGTCAATAAAGAATTTTAGTAAATATGTATATGAATGGAAAGAATTAAATAGTACAGAAGATAATGAGGAGAAAACAGAATATGCAAACATATATTTAAGAAAAAGTGAAAATTCTCATCTTGCAAAAAATGAAATAAATTTAAATACAAAAAAAGAATTGTTAAAAGAAAATTACATAAATGAATATGAAAAATACATAGAAAATTTAAATAACGATATAGAAAAATATTTAACAGAAGATAATAAATTTTGTATAGTAACTTATAAAAATTACATGGATAGAAATGTAAATATAGGTTATAATGAAGATATAGATTTTTTAAAATATTTTTATTCTTCTATAAATTTGATTAAGGAAAACAAAATTATTGTACCAAAGGGTTTTTATTTATACGAACTAATTTATCCACAAACAGTTCACTCATTTCCAATTATAAATAAATTGAATTATTATTTTGTTAAGCTCTTTATAAATAATAAATGGTATTTAGTATTTGTAGATTTAATATTACCTTTTAATAGTGAAAATAAAATAATATCTTGTCATTCATTAAATAAAAATGAATTATGGTGTTTTATTATTATGAAAGCCTTATATAAATGTTTTCAAACTTTTTATTTTTCTAATTATTATTTTTATATTATTGAAATGCTTAGTGGTAGAAAACACATTAAGACTTATTGTAATATAAATAAAATAATTGAAAATTATAAAAAAAATTATATTCAGTGCATTTTATTACATGAACACAACAAAAATAATGATTTAAATACTTTCAATAATGACATTTCTATCAAAGAAGATAATGAAAATAAAAATAATGACATAAAAAAATATAACTGTAATAAAGAAAATGTAAGTTACTTTTATTTTTTAATATGCCCTTATGAAGAAGAATATTTAAGAATAAAATGTGATAACGTTAAGCCACATAATTTTATAAATTTTTCTGATTATTTAATGAATAAAAAAAAAAACAATATACCAAAAGGATATAAATATTTAGATAATGAAGGAAATATTAGAATCTCCAATGCAGAATTAATACCAATTTCTAATTTATCTGATAAAAATGATTCAGATGATATTTCAGATACAAATAGAAATATATTATTTGAAAAAAAAAAATGTGGGAATAGAAATAATAAAATTATTCACAATAGAAAATATAACATTATTATAAATGAAGATATTCAATCCATCTTCCAGGTATTTAAAGAAATAATAACATCAGAACAGAAAAATTCTAAACATATAAAAAGTGATAAAGACTGTGATAAAAATAGTAAGAATGTTAACTTTAAATATAATAAAAAAGTAAGTTTTTCACAATATATACAAAAATTTAAGTTTTTCTTTTTATATTTTTAGTAATAGATAATTACTTTTATAATTTAAAAAAAAAAAAAAATAATAAAAATTAAAACATTGTTAGTTATTTAAAATATCTTATTTGTAAAAACTTTTATTTTTTTTTAAGAAGAATCATATACATGAGTACATAAGATGAATTATACGTAGAGTAATAAATATCTTTGAAATTATTTAAAAATATATATCCATTTCTAACTTTAATACCAGTTTAAATAGATATTTCAACTATTACTTTAATAAATATTTTAATTACAGTCTTATTATTTATTTGATTTTATTATTAATCTTAAACGTTCTTTTTATAACTTTTTTTTTTTTTTTTTTTTTATTTTTCTTAAATATTTCATAGAATAATAAAGAAATATATATGTGGTTTAATGAAAATGATATTGAAAAAATTCTTGAAAATATTAATATAACATATTCATGTGATTACTTAATAAAAATAGATGAGTTTTTACGAAAAGAAAAAGTTCTTTATTTTATTAATAAAAATAAATTCAATACATTATCAGTAAGTGAATTTATAAAAAATAAAGCTGATAAAAATGATTCATTTCATAAAAATAATAAGAGTAATAAAATTAAAAAGAAGGATAAAGCAGTTAGTAATAATATTATGCAAGCAAACGGCTATCCATATTTAATTTTAATTTGTTCTATTACTATAAATTCAAATAAGAAAGCAATTAAAGAAACTCCAAATTGTTATGAAAATTATTTACATAAGGAATATAAATCTAATGGATGTGATGATAATATAAATATATTACATGAAAATGATAAAATAAAAAGTAATAATTTTAGAATTACTGAAGAAAATAACGACTTACATGAATTTTATTTATCATTTTTTCCTTACAAAAAAAAGAAAAAAAAAAACAAAGTAAAAAAAAATAAATTAAAAAAAGAAATGTTTAATTATTTTAAGGATTGTGAACAAATGAGAGAAAAATTATCAGCCATAGAATTAAAATATAAAGAAAAAAAAAAGACAAAAAAAAAAGTATTATTTACAAAAGATGTTTTTGAGTGTGAATGTTTCTTTAAACAAATATACGAAAATTATTATAAAAAAGATCAAACCAATATTTTTTATTTTAATAATTTTATGTATGATTTATTGAATAACAGATATAAAAGTTATATTTTCTCAAATAAAATACGAAAAAAAACTATGCTTCTTAAAGAAAATAGAGAATATTTCTTTTTTTTATATATTAAAAATTATTCTTGTAATAATTTTTTTATTGAATGGATTAATGAAAATAACAACGACGAAAAATTGATAAATTGTAATTTCATGACGATAGAAGATTTTCTTGAAAAAAGAATTAAAATGAATATTAGTTTTTTTAAAAAAAATATTGTTTTAAAAAAAGAAACCATAAACAAAGTTTTATTGAGATTTACAATAAATTTATCTCTAGAAAAATGCGCAAATACATTTTTTTATTTGATTTACAAAATTAATAATTTAAAACTTTTACCTTACCTTTATTTATATATATGTAACATAGAAAAAAGTGAAGCAATTTATGAAGAAAACAAAGATGAAAAAAAAAAAAAATCTTATAAAAATATGAAAAATACAGAGGAAAATTCTAATATTATAGGAAAATTTTATAAATTTTCATTTCAAGAATTATTTTTAAAAATTAATATACCTGATAATAAAAGTGAATGTAAATATTTGATTCTAATAGTGTCCAAAAAATTAAGAAATTTAAAAGATGAAAATCTTAATTTTGAAATTTCAGTAGCATTATCTCCTAATATTGAAATGGATTTTAATGAAAAAAATCTAGAAGGAAAAAAAAATTATATACAAATTAATGAGCTGTTATCCTTCTTTAAAAATTATACTTTTAATAGTAATAATATAATATGTAAAAATGACACTTCGTTCAATGAATTTACAACAAAATTGAAAGAAGATGATAATAACGAAAATAATAATTATGAAATGAAAAAAGATAGTATTGTTATCAAAAAAAAAAATACAGATAAATATGATAAAGAAGTTGTAAATGATATAAAATTTAAAAACGAATTATGTAAAAATATTATAAATACGGATGACAAAAATAACTTAAAATATATATTAAAAAATAGTAGTAGTAGTAGTAATAAAACCATTAAAATAAATAAAAAGATAGTTATAAATAGTAAAAACAATTTTGTTAATGGTAGCATATTTATAGATCTAAAAAATTATTATTTATTCAAAAATATGAAAGTAAAGATTATAAAAGTTAAAAAAAAAAAAATTAGTGATGAAGACTATGGAAATCTAGACTTCATTCTAAAAAAATGGGAAAAAAAAATAATTTTACAAAAAATTAAAAGAAAAAATGTTTTCTTTAAGCATGTAGAACTTTCAACAAATGAATCCTATTTTGTACATATTGAAATAAAAAAATACATAGATCTAGAAGATCTTAAAAAGAGTGACAATTATGTTAATTATAGTGAAAATCATAACTCTCATTCTAAAATATTAAATTCACAAATGAATAATTATTCAAATGTAATTTTAAATGTATATTTAAATTTTTCTGAGGATATATCATTAATTAGTGATCCATCTAATGAGGAAGTAGAAAAGGAAATAATAAAATATCTTGAATTTAATAAAATTAATATAGAAGAGGTAAAAAAATCATTTTTCAATAAAAGAATAAATAATATTTTTGATTTAAAAAATGAATTATTGTTAAATTTTAAAGAAAATTATAAAACTATTTTTATTAGTTTATTAAATGAAAAAGAACAAAAAATGGCAAATAAGAATACAATTAATGGATATATATTTAGTAACTCTTATGATGGCGATAATGATATTAATAATGATAATAATACTAATGAAAGACAGAAGAAGATAAATGAAAACAATAAAATTTGTAATTATGATCATAAAAATAATAGTAAAGATAGTAATATAAACAATAATGAATATAATTTTTTACAGAATATAAATAGTAAACAATTTATAAATAATGAAGAGAGAATATTATGTAAGGAAGATTTTTATAATATTTTGTTAAAATTTAGTAACTTTGATAAAGAATCATTTGATTTTTTATTTTCAAAATATTTAGGAGAGAACACTGATAAGATAAATATGAGCAAATTCATTGAAGTTTTCGAAGGATTAAATAACGAAAGTAATTATTTAAAATTAGAAAAATTCGAAAATTTTGAAAAATACCCTTTAACATTATTTACTGATGATAAATTTAATAATGAAAATGAAGAAAAAGCTAGCAAAGTAAATAATTCTATAAACATAGATTCTGATTTATCTTTTGAAAATTTGTTTTCGTATCCAAATATTTATCAGAAAATTATTGATGATACTATATGTGATTTCAATTTAAAGAATAAAATTGATATTTTAAAAATCAAAATGGATGCAGAATTACAATTATCACAAAAATATGTTTGTCTTTTAAGAAATGCAAACAATTTCACGGATATCATTAAAAATAATTATCTTTTTTTAGAGAAAAAAAAAAAAAAAAAAGGTAGTAATTTGAATTCAGAAGTAAAAAATATAATACATAACAACAATAAAATAATTGATGTCCCTTCTAAAGAACAAAACATCAATTTAAATTTGCAAAATGTAAATATTTCAAGAAAAGAAACAGAATTAAAATTATGTAAAAGTGTTAAAATAGAACCAGTAATTATAAACATACAAGATTTAATAAATGTAGTAAAGAAAATCGACAAATCTCTAGACATATGTGATATTAAGAATATGAAAAAGAATATACGTAAAATTATCAAAGAAAGAAAATTATTTATTGAAAATATCAAAAATTATATTAAGACTAAAAAATTAAAAAATTTTAAGTTACAAGAATTAAAAGACTTACATAAAAAAGCACTGGAATTGAACTTAGAAATTTATAATTGTGATTTAATAGATTTTATAAAAAATCAATATGTTGCAATAGATATATTAAATAGTATAAAATGCTTATTTAAGAATAATGAATTAAAAAAAAATAAAACAAATAATGATATTAATAAAGAAGAAATTTTAACAGATAGAACTTTATTTCTAGAATTATTTCAAAAATATTCTGATGTAATTAAAAATCACAACGAAATTCAATTAAATGATTATTATAAAAATATTTTTAAAGATTCGCAACAAATATATAATAAAATATTGAGCGATTCAACGTGCAAACATGAAAATGTGTAAAGAATTATTTTATTTAGGAATAATAATATAATTTTGTTAAATAATTTATAATCATATATATTATTTGATACATTAATTTATTCATTCATCTAGTGATATATATATGTATACAAAATTTAGTATCATATATTAAATATATATTTTATAAATTTTGTATCTTCAGGAAAAATAACCCTAAAAGTTATTAAATACAATATGCTAATACTAAAATATTTTCATATTTATACTTTTATTTTTATGTAGAATAATTTTTAAACAGTTAATATTTTTTTATATTTTTAACATATTTCCATTTAGTAATTTTATTTATTATTATATTTAAATTTGTAGTTTTCAATATTCATTCAAATAATATTAAATATTATCTTTACTATATTTTAATTGTACAATATTAAAAATTATTTTATTTTGTTAGCCATTATTTCATATTATCTTCTTTTTCTTTATTTTTATTGGGTATATTTCTTTTGTAAAATACTTTTAATTTATAAAAATATTTATAAACAAAAATTTTCTCACATCAATCATTTCAGTAAATGATATTATCTTCATTTTAAGTAAAAAGTTTCAGACAAAATTAAAAAAATAAATAATAGACAAAGATACAACAAATACTTTAAATGAAAAATAATTATAGAATTTGTTAAAAAGTAACAAAATTAATAAAATAATTACAAAATAAGAAAAAAAAAAAAAAAAAAATTAATATAACAGCATATAAAGCAATTTGAAAATAGTGCATTACAATATATATGCATGCTTTTAAATGTTTAAAATAGCAACAAATACAAATAACAAATTTTATTATAACATTCACCTAAATATTAATAATTATTCAATAATATGTTTTTTTTTTTTTTTTTTTTTTTTTTTTTTTTTTTCATTAATATCTAACGACAATTTCTGGTTTTTCGTTTTTTTTACCTTTCGTTTTTTCCACTATTTTATAATGAAAACAATTAAAATTAGGAACAGTTAAAGTTGGATGAGGTGCACAAATATGCAAAGGTGATAAAAAATTATTTTTTATTTCGGAAAAAAAATATTTACCCATAAATTTTTTTTTAGGTTTTTTTATTTTTTTAAAGTTATAAATATTTTGTTCATTATCCTCTATGCAATCATTTTCGCTTGATTTATCATCATATGTAATATTTATTACTGTATTTCTTTCATTTTTTGGAGTATCATAACTTTCTTCATCTTCATAAGTCGAATTATAATTAATATCATTAACTTCATCCATTTGATCATTACAGTTATTAATTTTATTTCTATTATTCTTAATTCTTATTTTAAAATCACTGTTCCTATAATTATCTACAGGTGTATCTTTTTCAAAAATTTTACTATTATGGTTAAAATTTTGTAACCTATTTTTGTTTTGATTAAATGTAGCTGCATGCAATGAACTTAAAGGTGTATACTGCATATCATTGTAAATCGATGTATCATATGGATAATTTTGTTGTGCTTTATAATATATATCATTCTTATTTATATGAGAATTCATTAAATTTAAACCACCATCTGAATAATATTGTGACTCATAATTATCTGAATTTCCCATAACTTTATCATTTCCTGGATAAGATTTGTAAGGATCATAATTGTTGTTTCCATAAGAATAAAAATTAGTCTTACTATTTGTAGCGTACATTTTTTTTTTTTTATTTTAAGTTTTATATTATTTACTTTTTTTGTTGTTTATATTACATATTCTATCATTCATTCTTTTTTTTTTATTTTTATTATTCTTGCAAATTGGTATGTTATTTATTTATTTATTATTATTTTATTTTATTTTATTTTATTTTATTTTTTTGTAATTAGTAATCAACATTTTAAAAAGTTTTAAAATGTATTACTTTATGTTTTTCATATGAATAGCTTTTAATCTATAGATACATTTATATTCTATTTCTATATATTATATGTATGTACACTTTTTTTTTTTTTTTTAATAGTTTAATATTTACAATATAATTTTAATTTTTTATAATGAATTACTTTTATTAACAGTTTTAATGTAATTTTTATTATTGTTAAAACAAATAAAAAAAAAATTTAAGAAGCAAATATTTTATTGTTTATAAAATTTATATAATAAAAAGTACTTATATTTCTAATTAAATTCATTAAGATAAAAATGTTTATATATAAATTTAATAGTATTCTCTAGTTAATAATGTTTTTCCTCTTTATTGTGATAATATATGTTAAAATTAAAGACAATTAAAAATAAATTACATTATGTTTAAGATATCACTTACAGCTATAAAATTTTGTATATATTTTTAATTTTATACTACAGTGTAATTACTGGTATTTTATTTTTACAATTTAAGCTATTTTATTATGATCTATTATGAAAATTATTGTAATAAAATTAAAATATTTAAGAAACCTATTTTTTTTAAAGGTTAATAATTATTTTCCCTATTTTTAAATAATTTTTATGTGAAGATAATTTTTCATTTTAACCCTTGTAATATAAACATAATTTTAGAGAAAAAAAAAATCGTTAGTGATATTAACAAATATTCTAAATTTTTTTCCTTTCTAAATATTAATTTGTCTTTACTATTTTTTTTAAACAATTCTTGTTATTCCACATTTTTTTTGATATACAACGCATTATTTACTTGATTTTTTTCTTGAAATGCATTACTTTTTTGTTCACTATTACAATGAATAAATTTTTTTTTTTTATAGGAACTAATCTTTTGTTATTCGTATTTTTATTTTAATGTTTTCATTGGACTATTTCTCATATAAAAACTATTCCTGGTATTATGTGGAGTTTTATAAATAAGTTCATATTTAGGATGAAATTTTAAATTAGTAGATTCATTTAACAAAGTACTACTATTATTGGTAAACACTGTTCTATCAAAACATTTTGATTTTCCCATCAATTCTTTATTATTTGCATTGATTACTTTTTTTCTATCATAATTTATTTGTTCTCTCAGGAGTGTGTAATCTGTATGTAACTTCCTAGACTTATTTATAGAATTTGGCAGATGCAAACTGAAATTTTCAATCTTTTCTGATAATAACCCTCCAAATGATTTATGGTTCATTGGCGTAGAATCATAAAATAGAGCATTTGGTGTTCTTTTTATAGAATTATCGAAGTTTCTTCCAGAGGATTTATCTTTTAAATTCAAATGTAATTTTAAGAGGATATTGCTTTTCATTTTATCATTTATACTATTCATTTTTTTTTTTCTTGATAATTTATTTATTAAATTTGGGTTTCTAACACATTTATGTGTATCCACATTCACAGGACAGAAAAATGTTTTTCTTCTATTATAATTTGGATAATCCTTATATCCTATTTCATTGTGTCTCATAATATTCATATTTTTAATACAATAATTATTTTTCTTCATATTTTTTGGAATATTTAACGAAGATGCGACAGAATAATACACTTCTTTATATTTTAAATTTTCTTTGGGGTCTTTTAAATTTATTAATATTTTTTTTTCTGACGATGTATCTAAATTTACTTTTCTTGATTCTTCAGAACTTTTTTTCTTATTTTTTGATATTATGTTTTCATTATCATTTTTTTTGATATTACAGTCTATATTTTCCAACATATATTCTGCAAATTCATCTTTTGAGTGAGAAAATAAGTTTGAAATATGAATTGTATATTTATCTATTTTTTCATTTTTATCTATTGTTCGGTTTTTATTTTTAATATTTTCACATTTGCTCCTTAGAATTGTTTTTGTTCCTAACAGTGTATTAGGCATGCTTTTATCTTTAGGTAAATTATAGTCTATAGATTTGTATTCTTTTTTTTTTCCATCGCTTGAAAGACTAAAATTAGATGCAAAAATTTTGCATTCATTTTTATGTGATAATTCTTTTTTTCCGTCAACAATTTGTTCTTTACTTAAGATTGACACTGGAAAATTTGAATCTTTAAAAAGTTCATTTATTTTAAGAAAGGATACATTTTCACTATTTTCTCGTTTATTCTCTAATAAATCATCATTTTTATTATACTTAATATTGGTTTTTATTTTAAAAGAATAATTAGAACTTGATACACTGGAATCTTTTACACATGTCTCTTCATTATATTTTTCTATACCATCAGTATATTTTGAAATTATATTATCTTGTATGTTATCATCTTTTTTACAATAAACTTGAATTTTTTGATTTATTTTGTTATTATTATCTTCTATTATTAATTCTTTTATGTCTTTTTCATCTTTCATTTTTTCGGGAATTACAGAAATGCGTTCTAAAGAGAGTGTATCTAATATGTTTTTTTTTTTATTCAATCCATTCTCTATTTTTTTTGTATTATTATTTCTCAAGGATGAGAATATTTTATTAAATCCTTTACTAAAATAATAGTTTTTTTTTGTAACAGTTTTTTTTATATATTCTTCTCTTTTTTTATCATTTTCACAAAATATAGAAACATTTTTATTTTTTAAAAATTGTGTAGTTTTTAATTTTTTTTCTTCTTCTTCAATCTTAGATTTTTTTTCCACTTTTATTTTTTCCAATTTTTGCATATAGCGTTTTGGGTACAAATAGCTATTAATTTTCTTTAAATTGTTATATCCTACAACCTTGTTAATTTTATTAAAATTTTTTGTAGAAATGTTCTCGTTCTTTAAATTTTTTATATCATCGTTACTTTCTTTTAGAGATACAGATAATTGTAATCTTTTATCATATGGAACCTTAATTTCGTTTTTATTTTTTATCCAATCACAGTCATTATTGTTTTTGTAAGGAAAGAGTTCTGTTGTGTTTTCACTTAAAAAATAATTTATTGAACAAGATTTTTTTAACTTATGGTTAATTTCATTTTCATCAATGTCATTAATATTATCTTTATCATTTTTGCTATTGCTATTATTATTACTACTAATATTATCAATAATACTATCACTATTGATATAGTCATTATTTTTTCTATTATCCCTATAAATATTATTATTATTATTATCCTCATTATTTACATCGTTATTGTTATTTTCATTATTCATATTATTATCATTATTCTCATCATTGTTATAATTATTCTCTCTATTAATATCATTAATATTATTCTCATAGTTATTATTATTCTTATCCTCATTATTTATATCATTATTATTATTTTCATAATTCATATCATTATCATTATTCTCATCATTGTTATAATTATTCTCTCTATTAATATCATTATTATTATTATTATTCTCATTATTAATGTCATTATTATTATTTGCATTATTTATACTATTGTTTTTATGAATATTCATATCGCAATTATTATATTCATTATTGATACTATTATTATTGTTATCATTATTGATATCCCTAAAATTATTACACATCATGTCATTATTACTAATACTTTCATAATTGTTATTATAAATATTATCAATTCTATTATTATCATTGCTATCATAATTTTTACCATTTTTATCAGTGTTATTATTATTGCTATTATTATTATTGTCATAAATATTTCTATTTTTATTAATGCTACTAATATTATTATAATCATTAATTATGTTTTCATTACTAATAAGTACATAACTGTTATTGTTGTTATCATTATTACTAAATTCATTAATAATATGAACATTATTATTATTGTTGTTATTACCCTTGTTATAATTCTCATTATCATTTAAGTATATATACTGATATAAATTTTCTTTTTCACACTTAAAAGGTTTATAATTATTTCCGTTATATAGATGAACATTGTTTGATTTACATAATTCATTTCCTATCATATAATCAAAAACTAAATTGTCGTTTAGTTTAGTAAAAAGTAAGTTTTCTTGAACCCCCTCCCCTGGTGTATTTTGAACAATTATTTTTTCTATTGGGGAGGGGTAAACTAGTTTAAATATTCAGTTTTTTTTATGTTATTTTGTACGAATTGATTTTTGTTGATTATTTCATTAGGTATAGATGGTATAATTATGTTATTTGTTTTGTTTACAAATTCCTGTGAAAAGTTCCTTGAATTTGCATAGTTCATGCAAGAAATATGTTTGTTTGTGTTATCTAAGGAATTTTTAGAGTTTCCATTTATATTATTTGTCTCTTTTATATTAAAGTTATTAATTCCTTGATATACCACATTTTGACTGGCAATTGATTTTCCATTACTTTCTTCGTGTAAAATATTCAATAATTGTTTATTTTGTAAATTCATTAAGTTTTCATTTGATATCTTAATTATCTTGGATATATCTATATGATTGTTATTATTTTTGTTTATCTCTAGTAGGGAATTGTTAGGATTATAAATATTGTCATTAAATAATTGACAATTTGAGTGATTTGCTAAAATTTCTGCAGGATTATGTACATTATAATTCACATTTTGTTTACCATTGTTGAAATCTACATTTATATAGCTCATATTTGAAACTTTATCTTTTATAGGTGTATGTTGCATATCTATGTAAGATTTAAGCCAAGGAATTTCGTTTTCCGATTTAAAAAAATTGATTGTTGAGTCAACAGTTTTAACTTGCTCTACGCATTTTTCTTTTGCATTGTTCATGTTCGCACCATATAGATTTTTGTTGAATTTAGTTAATGAATTAACAGAGTCATTTTGTATATATTGTTTGTTTTCTAAGTCATTTACACTTCTCATTACTCTATTATATGGAGTATTATTGGGATTTAATGATTTAATAAAACAGTTATCTAAATTACATTCACCTTGTTTTTGAACATTACATAAACCATAATTATTATTATAATTTGTATGTTCTACACATTGTTTTGGTAATTCTATTAAGTTGCACATATTGTAAGGCGATTTTATTTTTTCATTTGTATGTACTTGAGATAACTGCATTTGCTCTAAAAATATCGATTTTTGCATTAATGGTACTTGTGATTGCAATTGAGGTAAACGATTCTGTATATGAAGATTTTGAGTTTGCATTTGAGGATTTATGATTTCAGATTGGGGGATTTCATTTTGAAATTGAAGTATTTGGTTTTGTGATTGAGGAACTTGAGTTTGAACTTGATGAATTGTATTTTGCATTTGGGGAACTTGTGTTTGTATTTGATGCATTGAGCATTGTTTTTGAGGCATTTGATTTTGCATATGAGATATTTCGGTTGGCATTTGAAGTACTTGGTTTTGTATTTGTGATATTTGTGATTGTATATAAGGTACTTGTGTTTTTACTTGAGGCATAACATGTGTTTGAGTTACGTTTGTTCGAATGTTACTTAGGAGAGAATTTGGTTGATATGTCATTGATTCGCATTGTGGTATGTTTTCTTGAATATACGTCAATTCGGATTGTATTGAAGGTAATTGATTTTGTAATTTATGAATTTCTTGTTGTGGCATATGTTCTTGAATATGAGTTAACTCGGATTGTATTAGAGGTAATTGATTTTGTAATTTATTAATTTCTTGTTGTTGTGGTATTTGTGTATGCATATTATGTGTAATAGATTGTTCTTCGTGTACATTTGTTTGAACAACAGGTGAATATACTTGTATACTAGGTATATGCGTTTCTTCCCCAGTTTTTATTATGTTTATAGGAAGGGTTCCTTGTATATGTGTTACTTCATTTTGTATATATGATTGTTTATTATCTGAATTTTCTGTATTATATATTTGATTTTGTTGTATTTCTGAAGATTGTTGAATCATTGGTTTGTTCGCTATCATATTATTAGGTGTTTTAACATTAACATATTGTGGTTCTTTAAACTTAGGATATACAGTATTATAAAAACCCAAACTCATATTATTTTGAGAGTTAATTTTATGACTTTTATTATTACGTAATGTATGATTTCCTTTATAATCACTTAATAATTGATCTTTTGTTGAATCAGAACTCTTCCTGGAATAATTTTTATTATATTTTTTCTTATTTTTGTTACAGTACATTTCATTTGATAAGTTAAATCCATTGTCTATATCATTTTTTAAAAAATTATTTTTTTTAAATCTATGAGTTTTTTGTTTAGACTTTTTATCATTATTTTTTCTGTATGATTCATAAATATCATTTTTTTGTGTGTTTTCTTTAGCTCTGGAATGCTTTTTATATTTAGTTGATAAACGTTTCTTTGAATTTTCTTCTGACTCTTCCTCTGAATACTCACTATAATTTTCTTTTTGTTTTGATAAATTTGCATTTACTTTTTCTCTCGGTTTTAACTTAGATTTTTCTGTAGTTGAATAATTTGATATACTGTTTTTACATTTTTCATGATTCCAATAATAAGCATCTTGGTTATTTTCTTTTTGTGAAAGTGTGTCATTTAAGTAATTAAAAGGCGATTTATTATTGAGTAAATCATTTGAACAATTTAGCATGTTATTATCGTAACTCACATGCTGGTTTCTTGAATTATCTAATTCGATATTTAGAAATTTGAATTCCATTAATGTTGAGTTAGATAAAGTTCTATTTGGTGAAATATTAGAATAAATATTTATACTATTTTCATTTTTAGGATAAACAATATTTAATTCATTGATTTGATTTATTATGTCTTCTTTTTTCTCATCATTTTTAATAATTTCATTTTTGTTTCCTATTTCATTGTCTTGTTTTTTCAGAGAAATATTATAATTATCATTATTCTTTTCTATAATATGTTTTGTTCTATTTGCTAATTTATCATTATTTATAGTATTATTTAAATTTTCATTCGATTCAGAACAATGAATAGAATTGTTCAAATGTCCTTTGAATTCATCTAAATTGCCATTAATAGTACTTTCAGTATTTTTAATAAATTCATTTAATTTTTTATTTTTTTTATCTGTTCCTTCCAAATGATCTGAAATTTCATATTCCTTATAGTTACCAAAAGTGGGAACCTTCTTAATTACTAGGTTTTCATCATATTTTTCTGATGCTTTATTTTTTTTTTTTTTAGCTTTGCTTTTAGATAGATTAGAATATTTTTGTTTTTTTTTTCTATCATTAGGCTTTGAATAAATAGGATGTTTAGACTTGACAATTGAGCATATAGTTGGGAGTTCATAGTGTCTTTTATAGTCAAATCCCCACAATAATGGGTTAGATTTATGGAGTGTTGCATATGACAGTGATGATACTCCATATTCTGTATTGGGATTATGTGGAATATATTTTGGGTTAATATTCGATCCTGGTAAATGTAAAAGAGTTCCATTTTCTTCAAATTTTTTATTTCTGTATTCTAGTGGGTTAAGACTCAATGGATTAAATTCTTCACTTTCAGTTTTTTTTGAGATTATTTTTTTTTTTTTTTTCTTGTTTTTGTTTTTTTCATTTTTAATATGATTTTTAAAATAAGCTTTATTAGCTTCTGAGTATACTTCTATGACATTTTTTATTTCTTTTTCTGACAGTGGATTAATGTCACTTAAGTTTTTTACAACAGTTCCTCTATTCTTAGGAATTCTTCTAAGAGGAGTTAACGGTTTTATTATTTCACTTTGCGTTCTCATAATATAAAAAAGATACAAAAAGAAAAATATGATTATATATTTTAGGATATTAAAACATTTAGAATTGTACAAAATTTTCAAATATAGGATATAATTTTATTTAAAAATAATTTATTTGAATTAAATATTTTTCTTTTAAATTAAAAAGTACTTATTTTAAGTTATTCATAAATTTAATAGTACAAAGGCTACTTTTTTTATATAATTGCATAAAATTTTTAAATTATCTTTTTTTAGAAAGATATATTAAAATCTATTACATTAATAAGACAAAAATACAAATACAAATACAAATGAAAAAACAAAAAATAAATTTTCACATATTCACACTTGAAACAATTAAAAAAATATTATATTTATTAAAAATAGCTAATTATATATATATATATATATATATGTATATATATATCGAAATACATACTTTTTATTTTTTTTGTATAATAATTCTCTATATTAATATTTTTAAAATTTCGCTACTATTCAATTGTTTTTTTGGTGACTAAATTTTGAATTATACTTTTTATTTTTTTTTCTGAATACAAACTAAACGTTTCAGTAAGAAAATTTATTTGTTCAGAAGAATTTTGAAAATTTTTTTTTTTTATAGCTACCTAAAATAAAAATTTTAAAATACCTTACATATTTTCATAATATCTTATCCATGTAATATAAAATTACTATTATTATGGAAATAGAAAATTATTACTGTATTTTATAAATTTTAGATATATAACAACACTCTTCAAATAAAATATAGATAAAAGAGAATATAATTAATTATTAATAATATAGAAGTGTTTTTCTTGAATAAAAAATTGTATGTACATTAATATATTAAGGTACACAAAAAGTATAAAACTATAGAAACGTTGCACACTTAGTCTCATTTTTAGCTTAAATGTAGATATATATGCACATATGTATTAATTTGGTATTTATAAAATATATTATATGATATAATAAAAAAAATTGTTATACACACACTTCAAAGAAATAAAAATAAAGGAAACATTAATTTTCAAACTGTTATTCTTTTTTTATTATAAAAATTTTAGGAAATATTATTATATAAAAATTAATATGAAAATAATTATAATAAATACACTATAAATAAAATATCTTTTTTTAGAAAATATTCATATCATTTTTTAAATAAAGTATTTTCTTATGGACTTTAATTTTTAAAGTTGGTATTAAAAACTTTACTATAGGTGCATAAACAATAATTTTTATGACATAAACAAAAAGGAAATTTAGGGGAAAAAATAAAAGTATAGTTTTTGTTTTAATTTTTTTCTTAAAAGCCAACGAATAAAAAATGTTAACAATCTAATAAAAGATTTTTTGTATTAACATAAAATGTATAATTTTTAGCAAAATTCTAAGTAAACTAAAAACAGTTATGTATATAATATCCTTGTATTTTTTTTTTTTTTTAAAAGAAAAATAAGAATTACTTCATTCCATATGAAGTGAAAATTTTTTTTTTTAGATATTATTTTGTTTTCTTAGTTAAATGAAGCAAACGAGATTTTTCTTAAGAAATTTTTTTTTTTTTTTTTTTTTATAAAATAATTGTTTATTTACGTTTAAGCGTTTTGTTTAAACTTTTTGTCCTTTAATTTTTTATTCTTAAACTTTTTTTACTTAAATTTTCTTCTGTTTAAATTTTATTTTTGTTTATATATAAATTTCTAGAAGAAAATTGTTGTTATTATAAGCAAATGATTGTCTTAAAATATAAATAGTTTTGAAAGAAAATAGTTATATTTATTTTTTTCATTAAATTAAAAAAAAATGTTTAGCAATGAAGAAATTTGTTTTCCTAAAAAGATCTTATCTATATCTGCGGTGACTCTTACTGTAATTTTTTTGATATTTACTATTATAAATGAATACAAATATGTAACTTATTCTAAAGAGTTGAGGCCAATAATAAAAAATGCAATTCCAGTATGAACATATTAATTTCATAAAATAATTTTAAAAAAATTTTCAAGTTAACATTTGTATTTCATATGAAAAATTCATTTTAATCTTAGGTTTCATGTATTCCTCTAGAGGAAAATAACGGAAAAATTATACATATAGTAAGAAAAAAAAAAATTGAAATTATATGATATTAATTTGAAAATAATAATATTAAAATCAAGATAGTAAAAAAAATATTAAGTTATTATTCTAAATTAAATTATTTTAAATAGAATTGTCCTTTACAAGACCTGGAAACCTTTTATGCACCATCAGAATTCAGTAGTAATATTTATTCTTTTCGAGGAGTGTTTTTTGAAATGAAAGTTGAAATGTATCAATTGGTAAGAGATTATGGAAATTTAGGTTTGTATACAAGGGGAAAATTTGAGGATCATATAGTACGAACACCTTATAATTTTCTTTTTTTCTTTAAAAGAAGAAAAAATCCTACGTTTATGCCAGCTATTGGAAATGTAGGGAGAAAGGTTATAACAAATTTTAAAACAAAATAAAAGAAAAGTTATCATTTTTATTATTATTTATAAGCATCATTAATTTATTCGTTTAAATACATCTATATTATTTTTTAATATAAAAAAAAAGAAAAAGCATATATATATTATAAAAAATAAAGGTGTATCATATATACTCATTCTATATATTTGCAAATAAAGTGCAACTTAAGTGCTTAAAATTCTCTGTTTTAAAATTTAATAGTTCAAAAATTTTTTTAAATTTTTCTGTATATTTGCTAAATCTATATTATTATTACTTTATAAACTATATATTATTTAAATAAATGTTTATTTTATTAATATATTTGTAGTATGCAAATTATGCAAAAGCTGGAAATTACAGACTTCCTAAAAATTCTCTTATAAATTTTCAAAAAAAAAAAAAATTAGATTTAGTCGATGATGGTTGGTTTATTGAGTCCGAAGTTAAGCCTCCTTTTACAATTGATCATTTGAATACTAATGTTTATGACAATTACTTATATACAGGGGATCCATTAAATCCTCAAGTACATTTCTTATGAAATATTGTAATCATTTTTTTATGAGATAAATAAAATATTATTAAATAAAAAAAAAAAAAATTTTTAAAATAAAAAAAGAAATTAACTTGAAAAAATAAAGAAAAAAGAAAATTAATGCATATATAAGAATAAAAATAAATATATTTCTTTAAAAGTTATGGCAAAAACAATAAAAAGAAAACATTAATATAATTAATAAATAAGATTAAAAAAGTATAGAATATTTTAGTTAAATGAATCACTTATTTTTCTTCTTTTTTGGGCAAAATAGATTAATGTATTTCTTATTTTATAGGTAGGTGATATTAGAATATCATTTTATGGTAGTACAGCTGCGCATGCAACAATTGTAGGTGTCCAAAAGTCAAGGTTAATGAATACTATATTTGAAATAGATGGGATAAGTGTGACAAACCATAAAATGATATTACTATCTGAAGATAATAAAACAATGATCAATCAAATTAAAGATTTTATTCATAAAAATTATGGAAATATAACATCTTTGTGGTTATTTAGAATAATTACATGTTTTTTTATATCTACACAAATATTTTCTTTCCTTTCAGATAACTCAAGGGTAATCAATAAAAAAAGAAAAAAAAAATTATAAATTACTAATATATATTAAATTTTAATATTACTTTTTGAAATTTATAAAAAAAAAAATTCTTTAAAATTTTTAGAATATATTTTGGAGATTTAGTGTAAGTATAATTACTTCTTCTATTGTTTTGTCATTATTTCCCTGTGTTTTTTGGTTTTTTTGTGATACAGCTGTTTTTTTATTTTTATTTGTGTTAATTTTTTTAATGTCAATATCTTTATTATTTTTATGTAACGGTGAGATGGATGATGGATACAATGAAATGAAAAATTACATGAAGAGATCTGTTACAGAACCAACAAATTATACATTTTTAAATATACCAGATGAAAATGGAGATATGGATGATGATTATAATTATCAAAAAAATAATGTTAATGTTGTCTTTGGATCAAATAGTGATATTTCTTTTTCTCAATCTATAAATAAACAAAATAGAGCACAATCTGAATCTTCTCCTACTTATATATATCATAATTAATAAATTTACTTAAAAAAAAAAAAAAAGTTATTTAAAATTATAATGTCACACATCAAGCGCACTTCTTCAATGTGTGTTATATATGATATTTAATATGTCAACTAGTTTTTGTTAAAATTAAAAAAAAAAGAAAGAAAAAAAAAAAAAGTATTTAAAAAATGAAAACCCTTTTATAAATTTGCATAAATTGGTGGAAAAAAGGAAATTTTTCATAATTAAAATTAAATTATACTGTTTAAATTATACTTTTTCTTTTCTTTTTGGGGATAGAATATTAACTTTTTTTTTTTTTTTTTTCATTATATAAATTTTTATTTTTAAGTTTCTAAGTTGTATTTTTTTTTTTTTTTTTTTTTTTTTTTTTTTTTTTTTCATATTATTTTTTTTCATTAATTTTTAATACTTTTTGTTCCATAGTATATATAAGTATTTTATAATAGTTTTTTCAATTTAAAAATTATGATTTTTTATTATTTATAAAAAAGAAAATTAATTTTATTTATGTCTACAATTGTTTATTTTTTATTTTTATATAAATTTAAATATAGTAGAAAAATTACTAAAATAAAATACTCAATAAAATTATAAAAATTAAAATTTCTTGTATAATTTTTTTTTTTTCCCCCATAATTTTTTTTCTTTTCTAAAATAAACTTTTTATTTTTTTACAGCTCATCATGCTTAAAAATTAATGAAATTTTTACATTTATGAAATTTTTTTTTTTAAAATTTAATTCACTTAATTTTATTATGAAAAAAAAAAATATTATAAAAATTTTTGAAGTTTTTTAGTCAAATTACCAAACAAAAAACGTCCATTTATGGATAAAACAATAAAAGTGTTCAAAATGTTTTTTTTTTTTTATGATTAAGTTTTTTTGATATAATTTAAAAAAAAAAAAATATTAAAATTTCTTTAGGTAATGTAGGAAATCCTAAAACATGAAATATATTTTTTTATTTGTAAATCCAACTTCTGGTGGAAATAAAGCATCTATATTTACTGAAGTAAGATTAAAAAATTTCTATATATTTATATATACATTCACATGTTATATTATTTTATGTAGAGCTTAAATTTAATATTATATGTATGTTTAGTTCCGAACGAAATGTTTCTTTACATACAAAAAAAAAAAAAAAAAAAGAAAAATTTAATAAAAGAACATTCGTATGTTATTTAATACAATTTCTTCTAAGATACGAAAATTTGGAAATTTAAGAAGAAATTCTTAAATATTACATATTATAATTATTTAATTTGACTTTTTTTTTTTATGAATATATGATATAAAAATATAAATTAACTTTTATTAATTTTATGTGTATGCAAAAATAATTTTGAAATAAAATAATTATTAATACAAGATATATATACTTATGCAAAAAAAAAAGAAAAAAAAAATGTGTATATATATTAATTAGAATTTTTATAATTGTACAAAAATTTAAACATTTAAATTATTGAATAAAAGAATACTGTTAATTGGTAAATTAAGAATAATATTCAATATTATTTGAATAAAAACATTATTTAAACTTTAAAATAAGTGTATATATTAATGTATGAAATATTAAAATTTTTTAAAAAATAATCTTTGCAAAAAAAAATATTTTCTTTTAAATAAAATAAACATTGTTATTTTAAATGATTTAGTAGATATATAATTTCAATTAAATATATAAAAAATGTATATATATATATGCATATATTAACATTAAATTTTTTTTTTTTTTTTTCAAGTTTGGAGTAAATGAGATAATATTTCATAAACCACATAAATGCCACTTTTTCATTTACAATATTTTGGAAGGAGAAAAAGGAAAAAAACCAGGGTTTCTAAATTTAAGATCAATAACAAATAACCCTAGGAAATTTGAAAGCAAAGCTTTTTCAAGTTTTTCAAAATCTAAAAGTTTTACTGATAAAAATAATTTATCATTAGAAAATAAGGATAGCTTAATAAAAAGGAAATACTTATCAAAAGAAAAAATTCCTACAAATTCCAATAGAGATAGTAATGATAAAAATATTGATTTGGATAAACATAATGAACATGAATGTGAAAAAAATAAAGAACTAGTAAATGAGACTAAATGTAATGAATTAAATTGTGAAAGTAAAAGTGATAGAAAAGAAAATGAATTGCTATCAAAAAGGTCTAATGAAAATAAAGATATATCTATATATGTTTTAGTAGCAGGAGGAGATGGAACATTAAATTGGGTATTAAAAGAATCGGAAAGTTATAACATTAATAATAATAAATTTGCTGTTGGTGTGATTCCATTTGGTACTGGTAATGATTTTGCAAGGGCTTTTGGATGGAAAAAAATAGATGGAATATTTAATCATTCTTTTTTGTTTAATATACTAAAAAAAATTGTAGATCAAACATTTAAATCAAAAATAGAAAAACATGATTACTGGAATATAGAAGTTGTTTTAAAAAAAGATGGATATTTTAATAAAATTAACTCCAAAACTAAAAAAAAAGAAACTTTAAAAGAGAATAATGAAAATATAACCGAATTGAAACTTTGTATGAGCAATTATTTTAGTATTGGTATTGATTCAAGAATAGGTAGAGGATTTGAAAGACATAGAAAAAAAAATGCTCTTTGCAACAAAATTGTATATGCTGTTGAAGGTTTTAAAAAAATTTCTTTTAAAAAGAATATCCCAGTTAATTTAATTATAGATAAAATGGTTGCAGGAGAAAACTATGATAATGTAATATTTACTACTAATAACAGTGAAGTATATCCTTTATTAAAAAAATCAATGAGTATTATATGCATTAATATTCCGTCATATTCTTCAGGTAATGACATATGGAATTATACTCATAAAATTGGTTTAAATTTACCAAAAAATTTAACTAGTGATGAAAAAAAAGTATATGATGAATTAAAAAAATCACAACAAGAAGTCGGTGATGGTATTTTAGAATTTGTTATATATCAGTCAGGCATTGATTTAGGTTTAGAATTCACCTTAAAAGGTAGAGCTTATAGAGTACATCAAGGAATAGGTCCATGGAAAATTTTTTTTAAAGAACAAAAATATAATGTTTATTTTCAAGTGGATGGAGAATATTATCTTATGTCATTACCAAATTATATATCCATTTGTCACTACAAAAAAATAAATGTGCTCAAAAATATTTTATAAAAATTTTCAAAATTAGATATTATAATTTCAATTAATTTTGGAAAATTACTGTTTAATAGGAGTTACGTAAAAGATTTACTAAAAATGAATAATAGGAAAATTTAACGCTCTTAGTTCATATTTATAAGATTATTTTAATGATGATGTATTATGGCTTAATTTGAAATTTTGTTTTATTTTTTATATTTTTTTCGTCTTTTTTTTTTTTTTTTTTTTTTTTTTTTTAATATTTGTATATAGTTAAAAAATATAAACCTACTTTATTTTTATGTTATATTTAATTATTTGAATTAATGATTTTTATGGAATGTACATTCATTTATAACAGAAAACACACACTTTCTATAAATCTTTTTTATTTGTTGGAAATATATATATATATATATATATATATATATTTCATCAATAATAGTAAATTATTATGTATGATTTACACCAAAATAAATAGATTTATATAATTATATAGATGGACAAAAACATATATTTATTTTATTACAGAATGTAATTTCTTTCCTTTTTATTTAATATGGCTTTTATAAAATTTTTTTATGTAAGAATAAAAAATTTTGCTTAAAAAAAAAATATTTCTTGTGTATTTTTGCATGCAATATATTTCTTACGGAATTTTTTTTGTATAGTTAATTTTATATATGTAAAGGAATATCATTTTAAAGAGATATGTATTATATGATTACATTAACAGTTAATTTTAGTTTTTTTTTTTTTTTATATTTTCCTTTATGTAATTGAAAATTTTTTAATATGTATATATATATATTTTTTTTATTTCTCTTTCTATCTTTTTCTTTTCTTTTTTTTTTTTTTTTTTTTTTTGTGTTGAAAAAAAGTTGATAAAATTATGAAAATTTGTTTAATGAAAAATCATATATTATATTAGGTTCCTTTTTATTTTTAATGGATAACAAAGATTTAATTATTATTAATAATATTTTAAGATTTGCTATTTTTTATTTTTATTAATCACATTTTATATATTTTATTTTTTTTTTTTTTTTTTTGGAGTATAAACTTTGAAGACAACTTTTTATAAGTCCTTTTGTTTTAAATCTAAAATATACATTATATAAAAAAAGAAAGTGAAAAAAATTTTATGTAGAAAATATTTTAAATAATTATAGAAATAGAATACATATATATAGAAAACATTATTTAATATATATGTATATATATATATATATTTCTTTTTATATGTAGTTCTACTTTTTAAAATTTTCAATTTTAACAAAAAAGGAAAAAAAAAAAAAAAAAAAAAAACAGAAATTTAATTATATTTTTAATTACATATATATGTACTATATTTATTAGAAAGAAATTAAAACAACTTATTTAATTGAATTAGAATCCTACGGGAAAAAATAAAATGATGATAATTTTATTCAGAAATATTTTAAGACGCTCTTTTAGTAGTTTAAAGAATGAATTACAAAAATTTGAAACTTTATCAAAAAATTTTGTAAATAGTATTGAAAAATATAAACAAGAAAAGGACATTTCAATAACATCTTATGTAAATTATAAAAAGGAGATAAAAGAATGTATTGGATTTTTATTTAATAATAATTTAGATTCTTTGGAAGAAAAGGATTTTAAGACAATATTTACGTATAGCATATTATTATCAAGAAGGGTATTAATTCATAAAGATCTTACAAAAAATGTATTATTAAGATATATAACAATTAAAAAAGAAAATAAAGAAAAATGTATAGATGATAACCAAAGATATACACAAAAAGATGAAATAAAAGAATTATTATTAATGCTAAAATTTCTTTTTTATCTAAACATAGACTTCGATAAAGTAATATATAATTATTTATATTCGGAATTAAACAATGAAATAGAATTTTATACATTAGAGGAATTAGTAGAAACAATAAAAATAATATCATCTTTTAAAAATAAAAAATGGGTTAATTATAAAGTATTTTCTAGATGCATAAATGAAGTTATTAAAAGAAATCAAGAAGAAAAAAATGATATTTATAAATTTTTAATAACTATTATAAAGTCATGTTCACGCCTTAATTATGAAATATATGATATACAAGATTTATTAGAATCATTTAGACAAAATTATGATAAAAACATAAAGGGTAACATGCATATATTAATAAAAGTTTTATATAATTTATTTTTATGTAATTATCATAATTATAAAAATACGAACCAATTAATAAATATATTAAAAGAAGAAATTATGCAAGTAAAAAAAGAAGAAGATTATCCTTTATATAACAAATATTTATATAATAGTAATGTTATCCTTGATAATAATTTAGATTTTAATACTGGCATATCAAAAAATGAATTTGATGTTAATATCTGTAATGATAATATAAACAATATTCATGAAATGTATTTTAAAACGAAAGAACGATCTAAAGACATTTTATCAAATAGTGCTATTACATCAATCAATTTGTATAGACTAAAATTTATAGATCTTGTTATACGTTCAGATAATTATCTTTACAATTGTTTTTATTCCCCAAATTCTCATTTTTTTGATTTCATTAAACAATTAAACTTAGAAAGTTAAATTATTAAAAAAAATGAAAAATATCTAAAATTTTAAAATAAATTCTATAAATTAAAAAACGAAATTAAATATATATATATATATATATATAATTTTATTGTAGGTAAAAATACAAAAGAAACCATTTTTAGTAAACAAGTTAAATTTTTTATAAGAGAAAATGGGTAAAAAAAAAAGAAAAAATATATTTTATTTGTAAAACCATATAAAAATTTTATGTTATTCATTTTATTAGGTTTAGAATAGAATATAAATATGTGAATATATATCCAATAGTTTTTTTGTCAGATTTTAAAAATACTTATGTAGAATTTGTACATAATATTTGCATTAATAAAAAAATGAAAGATAGTCCAAATATATTTCATAAAAATTATTTAAATTATAAAATTAAGCATTTGAAATTTCTAGGATGGTTAACATAAATATAAATATATATATATATATATCTTCTTTAAATAATTTAAATAAATTTTATGTTAAAAATTTTTTCTCTTTTATATATTATTTTTTTAGGGATGCAATAACATTATATGAATATGAATGGAAAAAACTAAGGTTATAATAAATAAGGAAAATCCATTGAAAAATTAAAAAATTTACCTATAAAATATAATTATGAATATATATATTTATATATATAATTTAATATTTATATGTATCTTATTTTTTTTTTTTTTATATTTACAGAAGTTATAATGAAAAATTTGAATATATAAAAAAGGCATTTAAAAGTATTAAAAGCTCTTCACAATGAATTTACTGAATGACAAATTAAAAAGTATAAAAAATTTAAAAAGTAAAGAATAATAACACATTTGTATATCTGATGTTGTAAATTTTATCAAATATACATATATAAATAAAATTAATGATAAGAATTAAAGAAATATTTTTTATGAATATTTCTGACAAAAAAAAAAAAAAAAAAAAAAAAAAAAGGGAAAAAATTAAAATTTTATGGTTCATTATCAAGGGATTTATTTGTTTCTAAGTTTTCTTTTTTTCTTTTTTTCATTTTTAATGACATTCTTCGTCTAATTGTTTTTTGTTTCTAACAAATAAAAGGAAAATAAATAATTTGATTTTAATATTATAAATATATAACATATATTTAATATAAATTATAAAAGGAATAAAAAAGAAGAAAAAAAAAATTACTTGGAAAATAGTTCTTAATGGCTTGTATAGTAATGGTACAACGGGTGTTTCAACTTTAACCAATTCAACATCAATTTTTTTACATAAATGATTCATCTTAGCTATTTTTTTAATACATTCATGACTTAATCCATGTATAGTTACATTTTTATTATTAATGTTATATCTGTGTTTAACAGATGTTAGTGCTTCAATTGCTGTATAATCAAATAAGGTGCTTTTTCCTTTTAGGACAATATTAACTGTTGGACTATCATTTTCATAACTAAATAATCTTGTAAACATTTTTTTAGATGCATAAAATAAATGCCCTTCAATTTCATAATACTAATAAACAAATAAAAAAAAAGAAATACTTATATGTGTATGCATATATTCATTGTTTTATATTAATTTTCATTTTTTATTTTTATATTATATTGGATCTCTATTATTTTAATTTTTTTTTTTTTTTTTTTTTTTTTACTTTTGTGTCGGTATCTTTATCATAAAATATTTCAAATTTGAAGGTTGATTTGCTTTGCCATACATATACTAAAGCGGATAAAATAATTCCTGCTAAAACTCCCGTTGGAACACTAACAACAACCTGAGTAAAAAATAAAAATAATTTTTTTTTTTTTTTTTAAATTATTATGTAAATAAAAATTATAACTTTATTATTTTTTCTTGTTTAATTACACATAAAACAGTAACAAGAACAATAATGAATGCATCCCATCTTGATATTTTTCGGCTCATACAAGGGTGGCACTTTCTTATATATCCAGGACAAAAGGTAAAAAAAACAATGGGAATAGAAAACCATTTGAAACAATGAATAAAAACGGTTATCATAATTCCACATAAAAAAGATAATGGAATATAATTTAATAAAGAATAACCAAAAAGCAATATGGCATATATTAAAATAGATGCAACTACACCACTTTCTTTACCTCTTGCTCCATTTCTATAATTCAAAACTGATAGTCCCAACAAACTACTACCACCAACTGCACTTCCTAATGTTGCTAAAAAATTTCCAATAAAAAGAGAAAAAATTGTTTCGTTAGTATCACATTCAGCACCACCCATATCTTTTATTACTTCGCTAACCATTAAAACTTCAATTAGTAATACCGTAAACATATTTGCAACTATAAAATATACATATATTAAATTTTTATAAAACTCATACTTATATAAAATAATTTATAAAAATAAATATATGTATAGAAAAAGAATACTTAAAAAACATCAATAAATTTGGTTATAAAAAATTTTACCTTGCTTAATAAGGTCCATATCAAAAACAACTTTGGAAAAATCTAATTCCTTATTTGTAAATAAAAAAGTTGGCTTTGCTTTATCTAAGGTAAAAGAAAACATATCACCTACTGTAAACGATTTAACATTTTTAAATGACTCAAAATTGTTATGTAAAATTTTTCTAAGAATAACAAATTCAACAAAAATAGTAACTGTTATAGCTATTAATGTGGAAGGAATTTTATGACCTACCTATAGGAATAAAAAAACAAATAATAAATTTTATATTGATTTTGATATATATGTAAAAATAAAAAAAATTTTTTTTTTTTAAACACATTCTGTATTTATAATATTAGTATTACTCATATTATTTATTTCAAAAAATTTATTATGTATTATGTTAAAAAAAAGGATAACATTTTCAATTCAATAATATATTTACCACCTATATATATATATATACATAACTTACACATAAATATGTATGCTTATTATTATATATATTTTTATTTCTATATATTTATAGAGTTATTATATTTTATAAACGTATATATATATATATATATATTATCTTACCTTTGGTATTTTTTTCCAAAGTTCTACAATGATAACAACAAGAGTACATATAATAATAAAGAAAAGTAAAAAATATCCCTTGATATATTCATGGGTATATGGATTTTTTAAAGTATGTAATTGAGCCATTAAAAAAATAATAGAAAGGCCATTACAATACCCAATAAAAACAGGTGTTGGAATTAATTGAATTAAAGCTGACATATGAAATAAAGAAAAGAAGAATAACATAACGGAGCATATTAATATACAAACATATAATTTTTCTATTCCTTCAGGCAAATAATCAATATGATCATTTTCTATTAAATATTTTGAACATACTGAAGCAAAAGCTCCTGTTACACCATGAATAACAGCAGGAGAACCACCAAAAATAGATGTTATTAAACATAAGAATGAAGCTCCTTGCAATCCAATATATGGTGGAATTTTAGCTATCATAGAAAAAGATATCATTTCAGGTAACATTGTTAAACATAATATACAGCCACATAATATTTCATTTATATAATATTTGGATACTTCTTTTGGTGTATTTGTAAATCCCCAACCCCATTTTATACCATCTATTATTGATATAAATGATTTTAAAAATCCTATTCTAGCAGGTAAACACACTTTTATATCATTGTCGTATAGATCATCATGATACAGTTGTGTTCTCTCATTTGTTTCATCCATTTTATTAAATTCATCTGTTTCATCCATATAATCATTAATTGTTAAATCATTACTCTTCTTTATGTCAAACATTTTTTTTCTTTTATTTTTTTTATCTATTTTTTTTTTTTTTTGAAGAAATTATTTTTTAAATATTCATCAAATTATGCTTACATGTATAAATTTAAAGATTTATAAAATTTAAACATATATATGTGTGTGTGTGTGTAAATTTATGTTTTCATTTATAAGCATAAAGCTTTATATTTTTTCGTATTTTATACTTCTTCATAACTTATTTTATTTTATTTTTTTTATTTTTTTTGTTCTTTATCATACTTTTTTCTTCTTGTATGAATGTTCTTTCACCTTAATCTAATTTTCATAAAATAAATATACATATATATATATATATATTTTAGTTTAATTTTAAAAAATCTGTTTTTTTTTTTTTTTTTTTTTTCTCCTATTATAAATATTTTATATTATTTCTTTTAGGATAAAATATAAACTATTAAATTAAAATATTTTAAATTAAAAAAAAAAATTATATGTGTTCATTATAAATTGAGAAAGTCACTTTACGAAATATAAATCATTATGCGTTTTTTAACTGAGCGATTAATTATTTTCTGATAAAATGGCTTAAAAAAATTAAAAGAGTTTATATATTTTTTCATTTAATAGTACAATATTTTGAGAATACAGTAAAAATGCTTTTAAAAATATAAAATTCCCAAAAATTAAAAAAATGAAAATGAGTTAACTGTTTTAATTTAAAAAAAAAAACTGAGGATATATATACAGTTGAATTAAAAAAAAAAAAAAAAAATGATTACATATGTTTTATTAAAAAAAACTTCATTATAAATAGTTAAATATAAAAAATTAAAAATAAATCTTATATACCATAAAAATTTACATTTTTTTTATTTTTAAAATTTCTTCATAAAATCTTTGAAAAAGAATGTACGAAAATTTGAAAAAAAAAAAAAAGACATCTTAATTTATGTTTTTACTAGTTTAAAAGGAATATTAATTTTTAACTTTTTATTTTAATAATATAATTATCTACTAATCTTTTTTTTCTTTTTTACATTTTTTATTCTTTAATTTAATTTTTTTTTTTTTTTTTTTTTCTAAATTTTCTTCTTTTTGCATGCTTTTTTAATATAGGCATTTAATATTTTCTTGAAATTTCAGATCTGAAAAGTTTTAAAAATTTAGATCTAAATTTTATCACACACATAAAAAAAAAATAAATACATATGCATAAATATTTATATATATTATTATTCTTTATTTGTTACAGGTAAATTAATACAAAGATATAAAATACAAAAGTTTATTTTTCCTTTAAAACATTGTAAATACTATTTATATAATTTAATAAAGAAAAGTGAAAAATAAAAAGTGCTATTTATTTTGTAACTGTCTCTTTCTAAAAAATACAAAAAAGGAGGGAAATTTTATAAAAAGCTTTATTTTATTTTTCAAATTTTAAATATTACTATGGAAATTAAAAATTTTGTTTAACTATCATAGTTGAAATCAGTATAAATATATAATACTGTGTATTTGCAAAACAAAGATAGTATAATGAAAGGATATTTTTTTTTTAAAAAATATCAAGAAAAAAAATTACAATTATTTATTGAAGGAAAAAACTAGCTATAAAGTTATATTTATATTTTAAAGATAATTTTTTAAAAATATAATTAAATATATTTAAAAATGTAAAGTAAAAAAAAAAAACAAAGAGTGGATTTATTTTACTGTTTTAAAAAGTCAAAAAAAAGAAAAAAATTAATTGTTTATTATTTTTTATAAAATAATAAAAGCATTCATTTTACATATCAAAATAATTCACTAAAAATATACAGTTTCGTTACATAGAAAAACAATTACAACTTTTAAAATTTTAATTTTTTAAAAAATTTTATTGTTTTAAAACCTCTTTTTTTATTTTATTTAAAATTATATCATATATTTACAATTCTAAAGTAAGAAACATTTAAAATTCATATGATTATAAAACAAATTATTTCTGAAATTTCATATTAGGATTAATATTTTCTAGATAAAATGAAATTAAAATTTTAAACGAATAATTAGGTTACTACAGGAATATAAATAATTTTTTGGTTTATTGTGAGCATTTCTTTAAAAAAAAAATATTTTTATTCTTTTTAAATAATAGAACTAGAAATGTTCAATATATATGTAGCTATGATTTAGTAACATTTTTGTTATACTGCTAAAATTTAAATATATTTATTATTGTTACCTTTGGGGCTAATATTTTTTACTCTATAATTTGATTATAATATATATGTCATAAATATATATAACTTATATAATTTTTTCTGAAAAAAGAAATCAGTAAAATACTTCTTTTCATATATATGTGAACTTAGATGTAATCATATACTTATAAAATATTTCAAAAATTGCTGAGAAAAAAGTAAAAATATATATATTTTTCAACAGTTTCAATAAAACTTACATTAAAAAAAAAAAAATGATAAAACTTGAAAAATATCCTTTAAGAAAAAAAAAAAAAAAATGGCAATAATAAATAATATTAAAAAAAAAGTTAAGATAAAATTAAACAAATTCATAAAAAATTAATATAATCATTTAGTTTTATTTTGATTTTTAATTCAATAAAAATTTTTGCATCCAATTTTTTTTCAAAGAAAAAATTTATATACTTTTTATGATTCTACAAGAGTAACATATATGGATTTACTGCATGCATTAAATGTACTAACCTAAACATTTTTAGATATATGCATGTTCCTTTACATCTTCAATTATTTGTTATTTATTATTTTTCTTTTTTTCTAAATTATATAATTTAATGTTTTTCTAATATTATAATTTTATTTTAAAACAGTTATGTGATTTCAAAATTATTATTTTTGAAAATCTATTTCAGAAAAGCGAAAAATAAAATTTATAATTTTTATTAAAGCTTTATACTTATTTTTAATCCATATATATATTTTTTTTTTTATTAAATTTGTACTATATATATAGAAGTATTATTAATACTAATTATAATAAATGTATTATATTCATTAATGTGGTTTTATTTAATTATTTTTACATAATTAAGAAATAGCAATATATTAAAATATAAATTTATGATATTGATTTTGCATTTATCACCGATTCGGAATATAATTTACAAAGAAATTTATTCATAAATTGGCTTCGATGAATAAAATTCACAGATAAATATTAAAGTTCAGCTCTATATGGAATATATATTCTCTTTAAAAAAATATATTTTTTTTTATTTGTATTGTAAAAATATGATTTTTTTTTTCTATTTAGTCTTATAATTTTGTATCATATTATTAATTTTTTTTTTTTTTTTGAACAGTATTTTAAACATTTAAAAATATATTTTAAAAAGTCTTACATTATTATTTCTAATATTTTCGTGGTATTAGATATTTTACGCAGCACAAGTTTGAAATATAACTTTTCTTTTTTTTTATTTCCATTTTAAAATTAATAAATTAATATTATTTATAATTAACAATACATAATATTTTATTTTATTGTGCTTTCTTTTTTCCAATATGAAAATAAGTAAAATATTTATCTTTTCATTTGTATTTTTGTTATATAAAAATAACAATATTGCACAGTGTGAAGGATATGGTGATATAGCTGCAACAAGCGCGATACAAACTATTGTTAAGGAACCTATATCGTAATAAAGAAATATGAAAAAAAAACAAACATAAATACTTATATTTTAATTATTCTTATATCTTTTTTTATTAAAATATAAACTTCCTTTAGATTTATTATTCATTTACTTGATTAATTATGTTATTTTTATTCTGTGTAATGTGCTTATATGAAATTTATTATAATTTTGTAAAACTTTTTTTTTCTCTTTAGATTAACAATAAAAGATTTGTATGATCACGCAGTAAAAGATCCTGTAACAAGACTTATAAATAAAATTAAGAAAGTATTACGTTATAGAAAAGTTTTGAGATGGTCTCGTATATGGTGGATATTGTTAGTTAGAGAAATTGTAGGAGATAATAGTATTGAAAAAAGAACAGAAAAAGTAAGTTATAAAAAAACATATATTTTTTTTTTTTTTATAAAATAATTGATAATTAATTTTTCTTTTATATTTCCTTTATAATGTACTTATTTTATATATATTAAATTTCAATCATATGTTTATATATATTTTTCCATATATTTTATTTCACATTTTTATTCAAAAAAAACGAGAGATTATTTATTCATAACCCATATATAATAATGTAAAATTAATAATTTTTATCTTGTAATATTTTTATAATTGTAAATATTTTATTTATTATAGGAATTAAGAGAAATATGGGATCAATGTACTATTGCTGTATTTAACAATACTTTAAATACAGTTGAAACTAAACCATTGTTATTTTTACATGGTATATTAAATGAATGTAAAAGTAATTTTTCAACAAAATTAAGACAAGATCCAAGTTTAATTGTAGCAAAAATGGATCAAATAATAAAGTCCGGTATATATAGATTTTGGGTTTCAGATGCTTATTTGAAAATAGGAAGATCAGGAATTTTTTATAAAAATATCACACCAAAATTAGTTCCAGCATTACCTAAAGAACATACTCTTAAATATTTGTCTGCATATATGGTAGATAAATTAAAATCATTAGAATCTAAGAAGAATATAGAATCAGGAAAATATGAAATTGATATAGGCCCTGACCAAGAAGATAAGAAAGATGAAGCTACTGAAAAGGAAGATGATTTAGATCAAACTGTTGAGCCTGATGAAACAACCAATGAAGATGATAATGATGAAACATTTAATGAAGATGATATTAATGATGAAACAACTAATGAAGATAGTTCTAGCAGTGATCTAATAAGCGAAGATGGTTTTGACGATGATTTAATTGATGGGGATAATGTCGAAGAAGGATTAATTGATGAATATAATGTTGATGAATTAGATGAAAATGAAATTGATGGTATACTTGAAGGTATAGATGATGAAGACAATGATGGTGAAACCAGTTAAGAATATATTATTAAAAATTAAGATTATTTTTATTTTAAAAATAAAAATGAAATAATTAAATTAAAATCAGTATAAATATGTGAATATTTTTAGTTAGCTGAAATAGAAATTATATTTTTTACAAAAATAGGTAATTGTTTAAAATTCTTAGGGTTTATAATTATTTTAAGTAGAAACATTTAACATTGCATATTTTATTTTAATAGAAAATTATTTAAAAGTTTAATTATTTTCATATTTATGTTTCTTTATTATCATTTTTTAATTTTTATATCAGCTCTAAGGTTTTTTAATTTTTCACATTGAAATTATTTAATTTATTTCATTATAATTTTTTAATTGTCTTATATTTATTAATAATTTTTAATTTTGAGTTTTATGTTAAATATATCTTTAATAGTTTTTATTTTTTAAAAAGTTAATGGAAAACTTCATATTTAAGGTACAACTAGAATACAAATCTTTTTAAAATTTGTTTAAATGAAAAACTAATTTTATTTTATTAAAATAGGGATTTTATCCTATAAAAGAGAAAATTGAAAATGAATAGTTTTAAGGAGTTACATTATAATTGTAATATCTATATATTTTTTTATTTTATCATTGCTCTTTTTCAAATATTTTAACCTTTTAAATAATTGTTACAATTTTTTGTATTTTTGTTCATATTATCATTAAAGAATATTTCTTTTGCTTACATTTTTATAATTTTTACATACTTTTTTATGAGATAAAAAGTATAACATCGGAGTATTTTTTTTATTTAAATTTTTTAATTTTAATATATATAAACTAATTATATATACATTTAGCAAAAATAGGGAATTATTAATGCAAATATTTTAATATACATTTTTATTTAAAATTTAAATTCTAATTATATTATTGTTGATTTTTACAATAAGTTGCTAATATGTTTAATATATCCTAGTGTAAAGGAATATCTTGTGTTAACCCTTTTTTCTAGAACACTTAATGTTAATTTTTACTAATATATAAATTAAGTATAATAAAAAAAAAATTTTAAATAAATGAGTTTTAAGATTTAAATGTTACAATATTTTTGAAAATTTTTTTTTTTTTATTTTTATCTACTTAAAAGAAATTTATTAAATAGTATTATTTTTCATATTATTAAAGAATTAAAGTAGAATATTAAAGTTAATAAATAAACCAAATTAAAGTAATAATATTCGATAAAGCACACATATATAAATATATTTTAAAGTATCATTGCTTCTAATGTTAAATTAAACAAAAAAAAATAAAATATTTAAAAATTTATTCAACAAAATTAAAAATGGCAAAAATCTTTATATTAATATACAAAATAATAGTATATATGTATAAAAATAAACAAAAATATATTAAAACACTAAATTAAGGTATAATTTTATTTAAAAAAAAAAAAATAACCATATATTAGGAGAAAGTTATATGCACTTACGTATATGCTTATTTAAAAAGTTTTTTTTGAAAAGTTACGATAGCCTACACCTACACATTTTATTATATAAGAATAATCTATTTGAGACTTTTCTACTTTTTTAATATCAAAAGCAACACTAAAAAAGTCACTTAACAATCTAATTAACACAATAGAGTATGGTTTTAGAATATTTAATGTAATTTTTGAAACCGAAGTATCATTTGCTAGTGCCATATATAGTATAGGTAACCACTGATAATTTGTATCAATTGATGACAACCCTTTTATTTCATTTATCATCTTTAAGGAAATAAAAAAACCTAATCTTTCATATATGTCAACTTGATGAAAATTATGTGTTATGCCATTTGAAAAATTATTATAATCAATACAACTATTTTCTTCTTTAGATGATGGATCGTTGTTATTTATAAGAAAATTTTCTTCAATTTTTTTACATTCTAATTTATTTTCATAATTTTGAATACTGTTTCCATTGATTATTCCATGACTTATGGAATCAGTATTACTCCTTTTATTATTAATATTTAATGTATCTTTAACATGTTGTAGTAAAAACTCATCAATACATAAATCAGTTGCATAAATACAATTATTTTGTGTGTGCGCAAATAGGGATAATGAAATAAAATGATTTTCTTCATCACTTTTTTGAAATTTGGCTTTTTCAATTTCAATGTTAACATAAGGGGTAAACTGAAATAAATTTTTTTTTGCGCAGTTCATGAATTTATTTCTAAAAATTAATGAAATTTTATTACAAAAAATAGATCCCCTTATTTTTTTAATTAATCCTGGATCGCTTATGTCAAAAGGATTTACTGATTTTAAGTTGTTCATAAAAAATGATACTTCACCTGAAAAGTCAGATTTTATTCCTCTTTTTAGAATTGTAATGTTCAGAAAATTTTCATCAACTTTTAAAAATGTTTTAAAAAAATGTTCACTCACAATTTTTAATGTATAAACAGTGCTATCAATAGAATCATCAGTTATTCCTTTTAATAATAATTTAACTGGATTTTTAAAAAATGGAACTATCATTAATAAAAATTCGAGAAAATATGTTATACTTCTTTCTTTGCCACAATGGAATGTTATATTTAAATCATTAATTCTTACTTCATCATTTACATTACCTATTAAGAATCCTGGCTTAAAATATAATTCATCACCATTTTCATTAATTTTAATTATTGTATTATCACATAATTTGTCAATGAGTTTTAAAATTTTTGCTTCGTATTCACGTAATCCTTCAATTTCTAGTTTCTTGTTTACTTCATTTAATTCTTTATCATTTTTTATTCCATTTTTGTTCTTTCTTATATTTTTAATTGTTATAGCTTTTCCACTTATTAAACTTAAGGCTAATCTAAATCGGAAATAATTACTTCCATTAAATTCCATTTTATATACAAAAAATCAGACATATATATATATATTTTGAACTACTATAAGTAGTCAAAACATTTGAAAAAAAAGATAAATTTTTTTTATTTCCTTCAAATGTATATTGATATACTTCCATGTAATTTACTATAATATTTCATAAGAGTTTTTTTTTTTTATTGTTTTTATATTGTATAAATTTTTTAAAGTTAGTTAATATAATAAATACTTCCAAAAAAAAATTTTTTCCCATATTAATGTTGTACTATTTGATCTTTTTTTTTTTTGTATGTTTTATATATGATGAATTTGTTATTAAAAAGAAAAATATAATCTTTTTATATATGAAAATATTAAAATTATAAGCTTCTATAATTTTTTTTTTTTTTTTTTGCTTATAAAGAAAAAAGAAAAAAAAAAAAATTATAGTTATTATTTAAAAATTTTAATAAGAAACACTGTATATATAAAAGCATCTATTAAAATTATATTAAAAAAAAAAAAATAACACCAATTCGACTCTATAAAAGAAATTTAACCTTTTCTCATCATAATTTTATATAAAATTGAAAATGTTCTTCTTAAAAATGAAAATATTAAAACTCTTTACCTTCTATTTAATCAAAATTCCTTTAATTCATTTTTCTAAATTTTTTTTTTTAATTTTTTCAAAAAAATTAAAAGGCAATATGATGAATTATTATTTTTTTTTTATAAAAGTCATTATTTTCTCAGACTTTTTTTAAAATTATTTTTTTTAGATAAATAGAAAATTATTCAAAAATTTTTAATAAATATATTATTTTTAACACTTAAAATAGTTACATATAAACTAAACAAAGTATAATATCATATTTTTAAAAGGTTTTCAGTGAATAATTTTAATTTTAATATTTGTGTTTATTAGAAATTTGATACAAATAATATAGTCACGTATATCAAGAGTCAAAAATAACAATATATTCTTAAAAAACAAAAATTGTTCAATTAAAAATATGTGATTACATATTTGTATTCTTCATATTTTTTTTTAAAAGAATTCTATGTAAAAAATGATTAATGAGTAAGAAAAAATTAATGTCATTTAATTATTTACAAGTTGTACTTAATGAATTAATCTAATTATACATAAGACATATTAAATTATAAAAAATTAAAATTACTTAATATATTTTTTTTAAGTGTAAAATTATTATAATTCAATGAATAAATTAAAAAAAAAAATAAAAATAAACTGAAAAAATGAATAGAAAGTATAATTAATTTAATCAAAATTTATTAATGATTTTATTAAATAAATGATATATAAATATATAAACACATGATAAAGAAATAATTTTAAAAAATAAAAAAACAATTTTTTTTTTAAAGAAATTAATTAAAATATATATATACAAATTAATATTAATATATTTAATAATTTATATTTTTTTTTTTTGTTAAAAGAAACCTTAATTCAAGTAATTTAAGATAGGCTATTTTAAACAAATATAAAAAATATATATTGTAATTATAAAATATTGAAATAGTATAAAAATGCATAAAATAAAAATAAGTGTTTAAGTAAATGACTATGTTTTATTACACATAAAAAAAATTTAAAAGTATTCAACATAACTGTTAATTTTTTTAAATAAATGATGAATAAAGCTATTTTAATATTATAATAAAATAAAAGAAATTCAAAACATTAAATATTTAAAGACAGTACTATTAAACGTTAAAAAAAATATAAAAAAGAAAATAATTTTTAATAAAATTTTAAAAAATATCAATGTATTTTGGTATTATTTATTTAATTTTTTTTTTTAGATTTTTATTGAATTTTATGTATATGAATGATTACTTATATTTATAATGATTTCAATTAAGTTTATTTTGGTTTTATTTTTGTTGATTTTAATGTCATTGCCTTTTATTCCTTTTTTTATGCATAAATGGATGCCGAATGAAAATAATTTTCTTTTTTTTATTTTAATTACAATAATGGTAACCACTTTATCGGTAATTGGGATGTACTCATATACCAGAATAAGTGACGCAGATATGTATCATAGGAAGAATGATTAGTTTTTAAATAATTAAAAAAAAATAAAATAAAATAGACAATAATATCATTAGTAAATAAAATAGAATAATGGAAAATAATGTTTAAATTTCTGTGTTTACATTTTTTTTTTTTTTTATTAATTTTAGTTGTAATTTTTATGTAAAATATGATGTCATTTTAAAATAGTAATTGAAAAATAAAAGATATAATAACAGTAAAGAGGAATAACGTTATTTTGAACATTTTTAAGATTGCATTACATGTATTATGTTTTTTTTTATAAGTATACTACATGTTATTTGTTAGTATACTTTTTTATTCATTCCTTTTTTTAACATTAAGAAGAATAAACATAACTTTAAAAAATAAAAAAAATAAAATTTAATAAAAAAAAATAATGAAATTTTTTTTTTTTTTATATATAATGATTAATTATATTAGAAAATAGTTATATTGTAAAAAGTTTCGCATAGAAGGAAGAAATTATAAGTAAACCTTTAAAAATGTAAAAAAAAAATTCCACATATATAATGAAAAATAAAATGCATAAAAAAGAGAGTAATTTATATAAAAAGAAATAAAAAAAAATGTACATAAAAAAAAAAATAAAATGAAAGACGTGAAAAATTTTATTAAAATTTAAATTGTGACATACTGCTTTTGTATCTTATTATCAGACATAATTCGTAATTCATAGTTAATTTGAGTTAAAAGGAATCTTTGTTTTAATTCTTCAAAACATTTTTGAAAAATAGCTAAAGCTTCTTCTAAATTTATATTTTCGTGATAATATTTATCTAAAATTGCATTAACTAAATAAGCACCATAACCATGTGCCCCTTTATTTACAGCATCCATATTACTTAAATAGTCACACCAATATAATTGATATCCATCTTTCTAAAAAAAAAAAAAAAAAGTATATATATATATATATTGAAATGTTTTAATTACAATTATTCATATTCGTTAAAAATATAAAAAATATATTCTTATTATAGTTTACATTATCATATCCAGCTATTAAGCAATTAACTTCATATGGGTTTCTCCTTAAATAGTAAGCTAAATTTCTTCTGGTAAAATAAGCAAAGGATTTAACAAATAAATCAGTCGAATTCTGAAATTGATATAAATGAACATTTTTTCTAATAAATTCACCAAATTGAATTCTATCTCCAATAGAACCTCCTAATAATAAACACTTATTCCCATTTATGTCATAAAATTTTGTTTTATCATCATTTTTTAATTTAACAATTGAATTGATACTATATGTGTCTGCTGCTAATATAACAAAATTTTTTCCTTTTAAACCAATTAACGTATCCATAGTTAAAATAAAAAAAAAAAATTATAAAATTTATAAAAAAATTAAAAAAAAGAAAAAATTAATACATATATAAAATTAGAAGGAGAAAACAGATATACCTTATTTTAAAAAAAATAAATGTATATATATTATGAAAATGCAGAAATATATAAAAAAAATAAATATAAAAATAGAAATAAATTGTTCTATTTGTATTTTATTTGACAATTTAAATTATTAAAAAAAAAAAATATATGTATGCTTCTTTTGTAATGTATAATAAAAAAAAAAAAAAATAAAATAAATTATTGCTATTATTTATGTTTAAATTTTATAAAAATTTTTAAAAAAATATTTAAAATTTTTGTTAATACGTTCAGAATTTTTAAGAAGAATTAATGAAAAAAAATATGTTTTATAAATGCCACACTTTCTAAACATATTTTCATTTTATTTTTTTTTTTTTTTTTTTTTTTTTTTTTTAATTAGCAGTACATAATTACATTTCATTTTTATTTTTTTTATTATTTTTTTTTTTGTTTTTGTGTAGTTTTATTTATTTTATTTTTAACATAAGGAAGAATAGAATTAAAATTTTAGCTTTTTTTTAATTTTCTTTTTGCATAAAAAAGTGTAAAATATATTCAATTAATAATATTTTATGTTATATTTCACTTTTTTGAAAGAATATAAAACAACTTTATTTTAAATGATATTTTTTTATAATTCATATATGAATCTTTTTTATTTTTTTAGAATAGATCAATTATTATTATGTTTTTTTTTTTTTTTTCTCTTTTATTTTATAAAGTTCAATAGTTGAATTATATTTAATTATTCTTACTAAAAATATCATGAAATATAATAGTTTCATTAAATGTTCTTTTACACATTAACCCGTATATTCATTTTATTTTATTAATATGAAAAAAGCAGTATTTATTATTTTTATTAGAATAAAAGAAAAGAGAAGAACAATTTATTTCTTAACATAAGGAAAGAGAATAGAAACATTTATAGGATAAATGTTTTATATTATTGAAAGAATATATATTAATTTTAAATAGAAATAATGAAACGAAATATTATGAAATACATAAGAAAATAAAGACTATTTTATAGATTAAAACAAAAAAAATTATAAGGACAAATAATATAAATTTTTTTTTGAAATAAATTTAATTTAAAATAAAATGATACAAAAAATATAATATATATATATATGAATAGAAAATAGCATTATAAAATCACTTTTATTTAGGTAATTAAAATATTTAATTTTTATAATTATTTCTTTACTTATATAACCCAAAAATATATATATAGAATCAGTGAACATCTTAAATTTCATTACTAGTTTTTATATTAGATTGTTTTCCATCTAATAATATAAATAAAGATAATATAAAATATTTATTAACGTGGGAATTCTTAATAATGTTTTTTTCAGAATATTTTTTTCATTTTAGAATAATTTAAATAATTTTTATTTATTTACATATTTTTTATGAGATTTTTTTATCGATAATAAATTTTTTACATAATTTTTGAAGTATTTCATAAAATGTAAAAGGCAAGGAAAGTTATGCTGAAATGAATATGAATAAAATTTTTTCAAACCAAATTAAGGTGAATTTTTTTTATATTATCAAGTAAAATTTATAATTATATAAATTTTTCTTAATGATATAAAATCATTATGTTCAATATGAAGTCAAATAATGTATTTTTTTTTGTATAATTATTATTATTTCTAATATTTCTCTTTTATTCGATTGTATAAATAAATTAAAAATGAATAAAATTTATTTTTTCTAAATTATTAAATGCATATATATAAAAAAAGTGTAATTATTATTTATTTTTCTTTTTTTTTGAAGTTTTATTGAATGAATATATTGTAAATATTTTTTTAATAATGTTCATTAAAATCAATGAAATGTAAAAAGGAATAAAATAATAAATATATTTTCATTGAAAATGATTTATACCAATAATATTTTTTTTTTTTTTTTTATCTTTAAATTTAAATTAGTTTAACTTGAAATTTTTTAATTAGAATTTTTTTTATTAGTCAACATACATTTTCTATTAAGGCCAAGACAAATTTTAACTTGTATGAAGCCTACTAGCCATATATTTATCTATATAAAAATATTTATATGCTAAAAATGAAAATATAAAAAAAAGGTTTTAAACAAATAATATGAGTTCATAAAAATTAAATAATTGTATATTGGTTTTTTATGTTTAAATAAGAATATTTAAAATTTTAAAATTATAGATATATATTTAAATTCATATAATATATTATTATCACTTTACGAATTAAAAAATAAATGTGAACGAATTTTACTGATTTTTAATAAAAGCTTCACCATAATAATATTTGTTAGATTAAGGAATTAAATACAGAATAGTAGAATATACAACAAGCTTGTTGTTTTAATAGAAATGTTTTTTTATTCTTTAAATTAATTATATCTCATTTTTTTCATTAAGATTTTATTGTTTTTATTTTTTTTAAATAATTATGTATATGAGCAATTTTTTCTGGTTTTCATTTTTTCTTTTTTTTTATGTTCTAATAAATCATAATCAGCAGTTCTAATATTTATATTTGCACTTGAATTGCTTTTTTGATTCTCTATATTTTGTAATATTTTCTAAATTTAGCTATTTTTTTATTTGATGATCCACTTAAATTTTGTATATTCATATATATTTTTACAATTTCTTTTTATATCATGAATTCTCTATTATAGCAATATATGAATAAAATAATAGCTTTATTTAGAATTCTTTTAAAATATTTTATATTTATATGGTACAATAATTTTTATACTTTCTGTATATTCTTGATTATTTTTTATCAACATTCTTTTTTATAAAAACTCATTTCATATAAGTATATTTTTTAAGGAAAAAACATATTTCTTTTTATGAATGGCTGTACAAAATATTTTTTTTTAGCTTGAATAAATAACTATATTGAGATTTTTAAATTATATATTTTATAATAATTAAATAAAAAAATTTATTTTATTCTTCATATAAAGTTAAAATAAAATTTGCACTTCTTGTATGAGAACATCATTTTATAAAAACTTTTTTGTAACTATAAATTCTTATGTATTTTTCCTCCTTTTTAATAATGAAAACTATTTATTATATTAATAGATTTCACATTTTTTTTTTTTTATTTTTGCAAAATTCAAGGATATAATAAAAGTAGAATTATACACACTATAACAAAAACAATTATAAAATATAACTTTTATTAATGCTCAAATGTATATGTTGTATGTAAATAAAACTTTTTACAATAATTTCTTTTTTTTTTTTCAAATTATAACTTAAAATTGAGAAATTATATTGATATAATTTATAAGAGTAGATTAAGATGAAATTTTTATTATATTTCAATTTTATAAAATTTCTGTCTTAATGTTTCATTTTTTTTTTTTTTTATTAATATTTTTATATATACTATTAAATTTATTATTTTTTTTTCAAAAAAAAACATTATCATTCATATTTAAATTAATGTATAATCAATGTAACCAAAATTATAAAATTCATTGCAAAATTATTTAAATAATGCAAATTTATAAGAATATATATATTTATACAAATATATGAAATTCCTTTAAAACTTTAAAAACATTAAAAATACATAATAATGAAAATATTAGTACCCAAATGGTACTATCTAAAATATTCTCACATATATATATATGCTGATTTATAAGCCATATAGAAAAAATTTACAACAAAAAGAGAAAAAAAAAAAATTTATGTATATAAGAAATATATGTGATCAGATTTAAAAGAACAATAAAATTATTATTTACTATATTACTTCTTATTTAAATATATGTGTAAAATTTTTGTAGATGTTAAAAATTATTCCAAAATAGTGTAACCAAATGATAACACAAAAATACTAATTTTTTTTTTCTTTTATATTTTTCAGTAAATACGAAATTATAAAATTTTTGATACGCTTTCAAAAAAATTATTTATTATATTGCTAAAATTTATTAATACGAATTTTTTAAAAATATGAAAATTTACTTAAAAAATATATAAAATTTTTTATATAAATGAAAAATTTAAAAAAAATTGTAAATAAAATTTATATAAACAATACATAAAAGAGGAAAAAGAATAAAATACCAAGTTAAAAATCATAGAGAATCATTTTTAAAAATTTTAAAAGATATAATAAATTTTACTTAATAATTCATTTTATAAAAAAATATAAAAATAGGAAAATCAAAAATATTTATAACATAAAGGATTAAATTATTGAGAAATTTTTTGTATTATGTATGAATTACAAAAAAAGTAAATTAAAAATAAAACACAGGATATAAACAAAAGGAAAAATATTTAATATATTGTAAAATAAAAATAGAATATAAATATAAAAAAAAAAAATAAATAAATAAATAAATAAAATAAAAGAATAAATAAAATAATAAATTTATAAAATTGATTTTTTAAAAAAAATGAAGTAAAAAAACAATTAAAAGATACTTAAGAGGAAAACAGAATAATAAAATATAAGAATTTATATATATTTAATGGAAATGAAAGAAAATAAATGATTTAACTTAAAGGATAAGAAATTTAAAAATGAATAAAATCAAGGAAATAATAAAATGAAAATTCAAACATGTTTTAGAAAATGATAAATAAAAATAAATAATATTATAATAATAAAAAAAAAAAAAAAAAAAAAAAAAAAAATAGCTTTTCATTAAAATGTTAAATTTTTCTGTATTTTACTTTTTTATGGTCTTATGTATTTTAAAATATAATTATGCTTTTAAGAATAAGAAAAACATATTTTTATTTTTGAATAAATCTATTAAAAATAAGCCTATAATTAGAAAATATAAGTGTAGGAGATATTTAAATAAAACGAATGATATTAAAAACATCAATATAGGAGAATTAAAAATAGGAAAAATATATGATATTATAAGTAATGATATATATATTCAGTTAAAAGATAGTAATCATCATGTTATTATAAAAAGAGAAAATAATTATTTATTGGAAAACGAACTTTTATATGAATATTTGTTTAATTCTAATTTAATTGATAATATTTTATATAATAAATTGATGAAAAAAATTACAAAAAAAAATGAGGAGAAAAATGAAATAAATGAATGTGTAGTTTTAATTAAAGAAATAAATGAAAAAAATGAAATAATTGGTGAGCTATATACTAATGAAATAAGTAAAAGAAAAGAGAAAATTTATGATAAATTGAATGAGATAAAAAATTTAGAAAAAAAAATTTTCATAAAAATTCTAAAAAATGTAAGAAATAAATATTTTACAGTTCTTATACATGATTGTATAAAAGGTTTTTTGTTATATGATGAAGAAGAAGATATGTTTGATTCGATATTTTCTCAGAAGTTAAGTGCATACATAATTGATGTAAATAAAAAGCTTGAATATGTTTTTTTATCAATGAAAAAATTATCTCAAAACACTTTAAATGACAAGTTATTGAATTTCCAACATACTATTATATTAGAAAACCTATTTGAGAATAATTATTTTAAAGCAGAAATTTCTGATTTTTGCAATGATGGGAATAATGTAATAGTAAAAATATTTGATAATAAAATAAATTCGATAAAAGTAAAGATAAAATCACATAATATAATCAACACAAGAAATATTTTGAGGAATTTTGATTATATGAAAAATAAAGTTATAGATAATCAATTTAATAAATATAATGAAAATACAGAGGATTCATATGATGACGATAAGATTAACATGAAAAAGGAAGATTTCGATGAAAAAAATATTAATAAAAGAAATAAAGTTGTTTCAAAAAAAGATTATAATGAAAAACTTAAAAAATTTAAAGAAGATTTCTATGGTTGTAAAAATCCAGATGCATTAAAATATATAGATATGGATAATTATATTTATAAAAAAGAAAAATTACTTTATGTTAGAATTATAAATAAAACATCAGATAAAAACATGTATGAAGGAAGTATGGTAAATTCAGATATCATAAATCAACACATATATGATATTATAAAAAATATAGCTAACGATGAAAATAAAGTTTCTTATTATGATGAAAAATTAAGATATCCATCTAAAGTTCTAGGATTTTTTAATAAGTTTGTTATACTATCTACAAGAATATTGAACACTGATAGCAATAAAGAAGGAAATAATAATAGTAATATCGATGAAAATACTAAAATTTATAGTAATAGTAACAATAATAAACATATCAAAGATGTAATCACACTGATAGAGAAGCGTTATATAGATTATGAGAATTTAAAGGAAGGAGATATTTTTTTTTGTAGATTTGAAAGCGTAAAAAGACAAAGTATTCGTAATGTACTTAATTTATCAAATAGTACTATAAATAAGATATACAATCTATATTTTAAAAAAGAAAAAAACACAAGTGTTTTGAAAAGAAATATAGAAGAAAATATAAATGATAAAAGGGATAATTCAGAAGAAAATAAAATGAATGAAAATAAAGAAAATAGTCATGGAACTATAGAAAAAAAAAAATCATTAGATCAATTAAAATTTGAAAAAATATTTTTTGAAAAGCATAATATTTACGTAATGAGAGCAGAATTACATAAGGATACGGAGTATCGGTTAAACAAAAATAATATAGATAAAAATTTTAAGTCATTAAAAAATATATGTGATAATTATTATTCTGGTTTTAACAAATTATATAATCATTACTCAAGCATACGTGAAGAATTTATATTAACATATTTAGGAAAAGAAAATTACAAATTGTATAGAAAAATTGTATCTGATTATTTCTCTTCTAATAAGCATTCATATAAAGAATTTCTACAAGTACCTTGTGAAGAATTAGCATCAACAATTTTTGATTTCATTTTTGAAAATTCAAATGAATTAACTGTAGAAATGGTAAAAAATTATAATGAAGAATTATTGGGAAAAGTAAAACAACTTAATATTTTTGAATTAAAATATTTATTAAATGATCTTATTAAGTTGAAAAATAAATTATATATATATCCTTATACTTATAAAACAAAAACAGGAAGAATGAATTTACTTTTAAATAATCAGAAACCAATAAAAAGAGAACACATAATAAATTTAAATATAGATAATAAAATAAAAGAGGAATTATTAAAAAAATATATGAATATTATTTATCCTATTGATTATATAAGGAAATTGATTTTAATAAAAAAAAATTCTAAAAATAAAGAAAATGAAAAAATGCCAATTATTTATATATTAGCAGAAGAAACTATAAGAATTTACGAAAATTCTGCAAAAGATGTAGAACCTTTTAGTGATGAACAAATAAAAAATTTGAAGTCATATGTTTTGAAGAAAAAAAAAAATATCATTTTAGATATCCATAATAATGAAGAGGAAAATTTAAATAGCGCTTTATTTGATTCAGAAAATAGTCAAATTAGAAAAATTCTTTATATGATAAAGGAGTAAGAAAAAAAAAAAAAAAAGAATAATAATAATTATGTATACATATATATATATATATGAAATATTAAATTATATTATGTAATATATATTTTATAAAGTAATAAATTCTTAAAATTTTATAATTTATGAAATTTAATATTACAATCACATTTCCATAATAGATATGTATTAACTATTTATTTATTATGAAGATAAATATAATTTAGAATATTTCTTATAAATTATTTTATTTTTTTTTTTTTTACTACTTATTTATGTAGAGACTTAGATAAACAGAAAAAGAAAAATAAGATAGATGAAGTTGATAAAGAATACGAAGAAGAACAAAAAAACTATATAGATGCAACTGAAATTCATAAAAATATACCTGAATTAGAAGAAATGAATAAATTAACAGAAGATATGTTTTATATGAAGATCCCTTTTGTTGAATAAAATGTCTTTTTTTAATTTAATTGAATTTTTTTTTTTTTTTCTATATTTGTTAATAAAAAATATATATTTATATATTAATTTTAATTATAATTTAAATTTTTTAGTTTTTTTTTTTTTTTTTTTAAGTAAAAAGAAGGAATAATACAAAAAAAAAAAAAAAAAAAAAAATATTAAAACTTTTTTAATTAATGTGATAATAAATAAAATTACATTTTTTTTTTTTTTTTTTTTTTTAAGGTTTTTTTAAATTTAAAATTTAGATAATAATTATTATAGTAGAAAAAAATATAAAAATAAAATATTGTAAAAATATAAAAAAATAGTATATTTCTGATGTATATATATGTAAATTAAAGCATTTAAAAAAAAAAAAAAGTATAATTAATATTAATTGAACAAATTATTTGTTCTTAATATATATGTGTACGTAAAACATTTAATTATAATTAAATTTAAAAAAAAAAGAAAAGAAAAGAAGCATATTATATTTTTCTTATTTTTCTTCTTTCCTAAAAGTCATTCATAAGGCAAATTTCCATTTAATATTTGATTAACATCAACTAAGTACCACCCTGATGATTTTAAATTGATTGTCTCATGAGATTGCAGAGAAAAAAGAGGATTTTCTAGTTGATTTTCAAATATAAATTCTAAATTTATATTTTTAAATTTTGTTTTTGTAATATAATTAGATGAAATAGTATTATATGTAGATAAGTCATATGATAAATTTATTAATATATGCATACGTGTGGTGACACCATTTTTTATAATATTTGTTAAAAATTTCATTTTGCTATTACTTTTTAAAAGTGCAATATCTTTATTTTCTACGCATATATATTGATATAAAAATTTTTTGATATTTTCTTTTTTTGATCTTTTTCCATCATTTCTAATTAATCCAAGTATGTTATATATATAAAGCAATTTCATGTTATTTATTTCTAAATTATCAAAATGCAAATTCAAATTTTGCGATTTTAAAATTTTGAATATTTTTAAAAAATATTCTTTTAAATAAATATTTGTCATTTTAGATAATTGTTTTTCATTTAATTCTCTTATAGTGTTAAAAAAAGAGTTAACACTTAATTTTACTCCATCAAAATAATAATATTTTAAATCTTTTAAATCATCACTTAATATATTACAAAAGTAAAAACTGACAAAATTACCCAAAATGTTTGTAGAATTGTTATTTTTATATAATAAAAAATAATTTAAAAATTTTTCTATTTCTTTTTTATCATTTTCTGAGTTAATTTCTTTTAAAATTTCATACACATCATGTTTAACGTTGTTAACATCTCTATTATTCCTCGGAGGTTTTACTTCTGAATTGTTTTTGTTATTTAAGATATCTTCTATTTTATTTGTATGATTATTAGTACTGTTTTTTGTGTGTATATCTTTTTCTTTTTCTTCTTTTGCTATAATTTTCTCATTCTCATTTTTTATTTCATTATTAATTGTCATTTTGCTACTGAGGATACTCATATGTGTATTTTTTATTTTGTTATCATTACTTTTTATTTCATAATTATCTAATTTTTCATTAATTTCATTTTTCTTATAAAAAGTTTCTGATTCACTTTTCTGATTAGAGTGTTTATTATTTATGTTACCACTTATGTTGTTACTATTATTATTACTATTGATATTAATATTACTATTACTATTACTATTAATGTTATTATCATTATTATTATCGCATTCTTTTTCATTTTTAAGAGGATTCCTTATTTCTCTATTTTTATATTCTTTATATTCATCCTTATCAGTTTCTAAATTGTTTTTTTTAAGATTATCAATTAATTTTAAATAAAATAAATTATCTGTATTTTCTAAGGATTTTGATTTTTTAATAGGATAGTTTACTTTTGATTCATTTTTTTCTTTCTTGTTTTTTTGTGCGTATAGTATTTTTCCATTTAGTATATATATATCGTCATCCTTCTCATCTTTTATATTTTTAGTTTTTTTGAAACTTTTTATTTTAAAACCTCCTATATCTTTAATTTTAATTTCTTTATTATCAGAAATATTACTAGTTATAATACTTCTGTTTTTAAAAAAATGAAATACATAACTTCTTTTATAAATGGAAAAATTATTTGCTTTTAAAAAAGTATTTTGAGTAAGCTTAAAGATGCTTTTTTTCATTTTAAGAAAAATATAAAGAATATAATTTTTTTAAAAATTTATTATAAAAAAAAAAAAAAAAAAAACTAAAAATTTATTAAAAAAATATTAATTTTGTTAAAATGTTATTAATTAAAAAAAGCTCTAATCATTTTAGTAATTTAATATTCTTTTTATTTTTACAACATTTTTCAATTTTTTTGAATAAAGCAATGTCATTTTCTCTTTTGTTATTATTATTAAAAAATTGAAGCATATAACAATATTTTATTAAAATAAAATAATATATATTTTTAAAAAGATAAATGAAATATTCCTATTTTAACATAATAATTATCAAATTATAATTAAAATTTTTTTTTTCTTTTAATTATTATATTTATTTTACGATTTTACAAGCTTGTATTATTTCTTTTTTGAATTTATATACACAGTGTTTTTTTTTTATTTTCATGTTCATTCACAATTTTTTATTTTATATTTTACTGTCATTTTATTTAATACCTTGTTTTATTTTATATTTAATTTTTTTTTTTTTTTTTTTCTTTTAGCATATAATTAAATATTAAATACTATTCAAAACAAGTTTGAATATTTCATATTTAAAATCTTTGAAAAATACATAGTTTCATTTTAAATCTTTTTGTATTTTTATTATTTTTTTTTTTTTTTAATGTTTCAAAAAAATACAATTTATTACCATGTTTTTGAAAAAGAGTAGAACTTTTTTTTTTAAGTTAAGAAGTTATAGAAAATTTTGTGATAGTAATAATTACATAAATAATAGCTACTTAAATTATGTGAAAATTAATAAAAATATAAATGATAAAAGTAGCAAAGAAAATCGGTATTGTAAGGATGACATAAAATTAAATAATGAAAATATAAACAACTTAGAAAAATTTAAAGCTTCAAATACAACAAATAACAAAGAGGAATTTTCTTTAAATAATGGTAAAAATAATTATGATAATCAAAATAATAATATAGATGATAATGATAATATTTATTTGGGTAATAATAAAATAAAAAAAAAAAAAAAAAATGTAAATGATAATGAAAATGTATCTAATGATAAAAATGAAAATAAAAAAAAAATTGAGGGATCTAATGAATTTCACACCATATATAATGATGATTTATGTGAAGAAGAAATTAAAAAAAGTGAATATAATTACAAGATTAGTGAAGAAAAAATCAAAGAAGATATTATAAATGAGAATAGTAAAGATTTTATAGAAAGTAGTGATATAGACCCAAATAATAATATAAACAATTTTTATGTTAATGATTCAAATAATTTAAATAACAATAATGATATAAAAAGAAATTATAAAAATGAAAATTTACATAATGATTTAAAGGATGAAAATATTGTAGGAGAATTTAATGATTTAAATGAGGATATTACATTAAATAATATTAATGAATTAAATAATGATGATTTAAATATGAAGTATAGTGAAATAAATGACTCTAATAATTCAAACGATTCATTTGATGAAAGCAATTCCGAATTCAAAAGTGACAAACAAATTTCAAATTCCCATGATACTTCAAGAGAAGATTCGGAAAAATGGATAGAAAATGAAGAAGATATACCAAATATATTTGAAGTAGACGAAAATTTAAGTGAAGAAGAGAAAAAAGAAAAATTGAAATTAATAAAATTAATTACAGAAAAATTAGCAGGCCCTTTAAAATCAAAAAATGAAGAAAATTCAAAAAATGAAGAGAATTCAAAAAGTGAAGAGAATTCAAAAAATGAAGAAGATTCAATATTTGGGGACAACAGACCAATTGCAATTGAAGTAGATGGCCCATCTCACTTTTACGCTAATAGTAATAGATATACAACATACACAAAATTAAAACATAGAATTTTAACTAAATTAGGTAACTAAAAAAATATATATATATATATATATATATATATATATATATTATTCTATTAATACTTGCAATAACTATTTGTTATATGAATTAAAATATTTTTATGCTTTATAAATTATTATGGAATAAAAAAAAATATATCATATATTATTTATGAATAAATTTAATATAATTAAATTTATTAATTATATATGTATAATATTTTTTTTTTTTTTTTAAAAGGATACAATGTTATTCATATAAGTTATATTGATTGGAGAAAATTACGAAATAAAAGTGAAAGAGAAGAATTTATTTTAAAGAAACTTAAAGAAAAGAACGATGAATTTTTAGACGATAATGATAGAGTTTATTATAATGAAAGAATGAACATGATTAAAGAAGATTATATGAAATATATGAAAGAGAAAAAAGATAAAAGTGAATAAATAGTAAAATATTTATATTTTGCAGATTTATAAGGATCTTTTTTATTTATTATTTCTTTTTTACCTTATCTTTTAATATTTTAAATAAAAATTATTATAATTATAAAATTATTATAATATAAAAGAAAGTTTAACATAATTTTTTGTTTTGTATTTCTAATTTATATAAAAAAAAAAAAAAAAAGAAAAAATTGAAAATATTGAAAATATTTATATAACAAATTATAATATGAAAAATTATAATGGAACACATCTTTATTTTATTCAAAAAATTAATAGGAATATTATAACATGAAGTGTGCATATAAATTAAAATATATTTTCTTAAGATACAATATAGTAAAATATGTATGACCAAAATTTTGTATTATAAATAACAAAAAGAATAAATTAAAAATTAAAAAAGCATATGGTTAAGAATTTTGCAAAAAAAATTTCTGATTACAATAAATTTCAAAAAAAAGAGATTTAATTTTTAAATGATTAAGAAAAACAAAAATAAATAAATAAAGTAAAATTATATAAATAATAGATGTTTTAAATGATATATATTTTATATTATAATTTTTTTTTTTTTTAATTATGTAATATTCTTAAAAATTCTTTTAATATTAAGAATAGACTTTTTTATGTTTCTAATTATACCAGCTTAATAAAAAAAAAAATTTATAGAATAAATATACATACGTAATTTTAATAAAAATTATTTTATTTTAAAAGCTTATACAATTTCTAATTTTTATATACTCATAGTATTTTTTTTAAATTTATATATTTTAATAACATACTTTATAGATTTGTTGAAATAATTTTTTAAAAAAAGAAAAACTATAATTAAAAAAATTTATTAGTTTAATAAATATGCAACATAATAAAAAAAAAAAAAAAAAAAAAATATACATAAACGTTTACATATATATGCATATACATACACACGTTTTATGTTATTTTTTAAATTTTTGCATATCAAATGTAACTTAGTTGTTAGGCGAAAATTCTAAAAAAAAATAATACTAATAAGAAAATTTTAAAAATATAAAAAAAAAAGAATTACTTCTTAAAAAAAAAGAAAAAAAAATTTTGAATATATATATACTTCATTTTCTTGAAAAAATAACATTTTCACAAAAAAAAAGAAAAAAATAAATCACAAATTTTATAAACCATAAATATTAAAGTTCGATTGAATATACTTTGATATTATCGAGAATAAAAACTATACAAATTTTAAAAACTAAAAATAGTAATAAAACCTATTTATTATACTTCATTTTTATTTTTATTTTATTTTTTTTATATTATAAAAAGGAAAAAAAAATAAAAAACTTATCATATTTTTTACTCAAATAAAAATAGGTTATACAATATTTGTCTTATGTTCTTTTATTATTTTTTTTAATATGGAAACATTAAATAAGTTAAAACTTATGTATAAAGTATGTATATGCATATTTTCTTCTGTTTTTTATATACTTTTAAAAATCATATTTATTGAATATTTAACGAATATCTTTCCTACAATATTTGATATTTCAAATTTTTATTTAACTTTTTTTTAAATTTACTTTTATTTATTCAACTAATATTTATAAAAACTTGTAGACTTTTTTATCCCTATGTTTTTAATTATATATATATATATATATATATATATTATTTTTTTTTTTTTTTTTTTTTTAGTATCCATTAATTATTCACATGTCTTCATATGTAAATTCTGTCTATGAAAATATTCATTTTACAACTTAAATGGACTCACATTTTAGTATACTTTTTCTTCCTCTTTAATCCTCCGTTTTTCTTTTTCTTTTTCTTTTTCTTTTCCTTTTTCTTTTTCTTTTTCTTTTTTTTTTTTTTTTTTCTTTCCTTTCTTTCTTAGTATTATGAACTATTTTTCGTGATAATATATGTTCTATATACTTATTAATGAGAGCCTTTAATATTATAAAACATTTTTTTTATTTTTATTGTTATTTCTATGTTGTGCTTTTTTTCTTCTTCCCACTCTTACTGTTTTTCTTTTTTTCTAAATTTTTATCATTTACACTTTTTTTTTTCTCATCCTTTTCTTCTATATTTTCACTTTTAACAAAATCTTTTGTTAGTGATATTACATCCTCTTCAGCAATATCTAATAAGCTAATTCCTCTTAATAATTTTTTTTTTTCTAATTTTTTATAATAATCAGTTACTCTCATCTTTTCCGTATTATAAAATAAATTTATATTTTTTTCTATTAGTCTCCATGTTTTTAAATTTACATTTAAGTTATGTAAAACTTTTTGTGTTATATCTTTTTTATCCTTTTCCATTGATTGTAATTCTTGAATAAGTGGCATAACGATAATTTCAAAAAAATATACTTGAGTACTTGGTATACTTTTCACAAAATCATGATTGTGAATGAAATTTAGTTTTATGTAACTGAAATCATATTTATTAATGTTATTTATATTATTCACATAATTTATATAAATATTTTCATAACTAAAAATCATTGCATCATCTATACATTCCTGATTATTAAAATTGTTAAAATCGTAAGATGAACCTGAAATAAAAAGTATATAAATAATAATTATTTTATTTTTAGAGATATAATATATATATATATATATATATATAATGGAATATATTTTTATAAGGTTACCCATATTTTTTTTCTTTTTATAAAGTTCTTCAACTTTTTTTTGAGAAAAAAATTCTTCACTAACAAGCATAGTCCACTTTGCATGATCTCTCCATTTTAAACAAGTATGACCAATGTCAGCTAATTTGATATTAATAGTTCCTAAATTTATAGCATCTCTATCACTAATATCAAAGTTTTCGCTTTTTTTTCTTTTTTTAAATATATCAACATATTCAAAATGTAATTTCATATCAGTAGCAATAATTAATTCTATAATAAACTTACGAATATTTGTATAGTTATTTTTATCTACTAATTTAGTGTCTTCATTATTTATTAGAAAATCAAACCCTATAAGTTGCAAAATAGAAAATGTTATACTGCAATGATAATTTTCTAATATACTCATATCGTTATATCTAATAGATAAAATATGATTTGTTTCTGATAAATAAGCATTTGTTTTTCCTGGATGACCTACATCATGTGCAATTGAAGCAATTAAATAACAAATCATATATGTATTGTTTAAATGTTTATCAAAATCAGTAATGTGAGCTAAGCATTTCGATAGATGACAAACTGTTGCACCATGATTGGCGTTATGATAAGGGTTGGGAAAATACATGCTATTAATTAATAATAAAAATAATTGAAGTTTTTTCCTTTTTTTCTCATTATTTTCAATATAAGGATTAATTAAATGATATCCTACTTCTAATATGACTAATGTTGATTTGCCATATTCAGAATCTATAAACGAATAATCCCAATTTCTTCCTATTTCATCCGAATTTATTTTTTTAATATTTTTTAAAACATCTGCCTCATAAGCTATCGTTAAAATATCTGATTCATTTAAATGTTTTTTTATATTATCAAACGCTTCTTTTTCATTAATACTCTCTTTTGTATTTTTATTTTTATCGCAACTTGTCAATAATTTTTTTAAAAAATAAAATACAGAGTAATAATCTTTATAACATGCATTTAACGTGAAATCATTAAAAAATATACTTTTATCAGAAAACAAAAACTTATAATTATCTTCCTTTTTATCATATTTTCCTTTAGAAATATCAACAGTTATAGAATCAGTTTCTTTCTCATAATTAGATTTACATTCGTAAAATTTTTTGCAATTATTTGATAAAACATCTTTAATCATATACAGTAAAATTCTGTTTCTCTTTTCCATTAAATATCTTAATATAAAAAACATAATCAACAAAACACTCAGAATATACATATAATAAAAATCCACTTCATTTTTAGTATTTTCAAAATTAATTAATACCATCAATATTGTGTTAATACTTAAATAAATTGTCATAAATATAAAGGTTAAAACAAATCTGATATAAAAAAAAAAAAAAAAATACAACAATTATTTTTATAATAATCAATTTTTTGCAAATAAATTTGTTCAAAAAAAAAAAAAAAATGAAATTTAATATTCATAGCATATATGAACATTAAAAAGATATAAATTTAAAGATATCTTATGGTCTTAGAATAATTTTTTTCTTTTTTTTTTTTATATTAAATAATATTTTTAATAATTATACTTTAATGTGGGTAAACATAATATGAAAACTGAGTCTACAAAGAAATGTATATATAAACTAAATTTGTCATTATAGAAAGTAAAAGAATCAATTTTATCAGTTTGACTTCGTTTAGTATAGAAATATAAAGACAAAAATTGAAAAATTTGATTCTAAGAAAAAAATAAAAAAAAATAGAAATTCTTTTACCTTATATTTATATTTTATTTTTCTTTTTTTATTAACTTACTATAATTATATATCCAATAAACAAATTTTTAGTATATACTTTTTTTGATGAAAAAAAATAAATTTTTATTAATACAACAATATGCATTAAACAATTTAAAAAAGAAAAAGTGACCACTAATAATTCAATAGCAGATGAATCTTTTTTATTAAATTCTACAATAGAAAAAAAAAAAAAAAAAAGAAAAAATAATAGTAATAAATAAATATAAAACTATAATAGCATATAATACTATAAAAATTAGATGTTTCAGAAAAGTCTTATTACTACTATAAGAAAACATAAAGCATTCTATCAGAATTATTAATAATGACACAAGTAAATGAATGCAAATAAATTCTTTTAAGTTATATATTCGTAACATATCATATTCTATTTCATTATTTTTATTAGAGAATTGTGGGAAAATATAACATCTAAAAAAAAAAAAATAATATATATATATATATATATATATATATATATATATATATATATATATATATATATATATATATATATTCTAAAAATTAAAATGAAATATAGTTAAAAAATAATGGATAATTATTAGAAATATAAAATGATATTATAATTTTTTTAATATTTATTTATAAAAGAATCCATTATAAATATTACAGAATTTAATAAAGAAAAAAAACGTATACCTTTTTTTTATTAGATCTTTCATTTTTTTTTCCTTTTTCTTTTCATTTTCTTCATCCATTTTAACATTATTTTTTTCATTCATTAAAGTAAAAAGTTTAATAAATTTTAAATATTTATAGGAAATGCTCTCTGTTTTGTATTACAAAGGCTATATGGAATAATTTAATTTAAATATATTACAGTTTGAAATTTTTATAATTCTATTAAAAACTTAAGAAGATATTAAAAAAAAAGTTGCTTTGCTAAAAATTCTATAATTACTTGATATTTTTTTTTTGTTTTTCATTGTTATTTTTCCATTAATTTTTCTCTTACTAATTTAATTCAATTTTATTTTTATACCTTTTTTTATTTTTCTTTATATATTTTTTTTTATTTTATTTTTTTCCTCTTTTATTTTGAATACTATTTTCAAAAATATATATATATATATATATATATATATATATATATATATATATATATATATATT